ATTTTGAGCAAGTTATACGTTAATAGAAAGAATTCAAACTTAATATTAACGGTTAAGTGAACCGTTAACCGTTAGTACCAACGAATTAAGTGATGTCTGTTACCCATTTTTTATTCATATTAATCATTATGTAAAGCTTCTTAAGATTTACGTTAATTAAGTCGCGTTATAAAAATAGTCTATCTGTAATAGTATGCATCTTTTGACCAAGTGTCAAAGTGCTCAAAGATTCAGCAAAGAAGAAGAAGAAGATTTGATGGTTGCATGAGTGAAGCGTTTTCTATTGGCTCAACAAGCAATTTGATATAGAAAAGTATGAAGTTTAAAAGTAATAGTGTAATATTCAAAATTTATTCCAGAGTAAATGTAAATAGATAAACAGAAGAACGCAGTTAGATCTGTCGAGTTTCTGATAACTTGGCATCTGTCCATATTATAGATGAGACACAGATAAAAATTAATACGAAATCTTTTGGCTGCGATCCCTTAAAAGGTATAGTAAACTGCTGCGAAACGTCATAAGTTCGGTATGGTACCATTTTTCACTATCGATCAGATATATTGTGATCGATGCAAAACTCTCGAGAAAATAGAATACTTCTGCTAGATCTTTTTTAGGAGAACCGTCAAATGTATTCTCTCGTCAGAGTCCTATAGCCTACATGTCCTCTTTCTCACTTGCGTCTTGCATATCTCTTAGAGAGAAGGTTTTAAGAGTTTTGATTATATATCGATTTTTGCTCTACTTATTCAGGTCCATCTTCTCTGAAATTTGCAAGTTTTTTAATCTAGCCGTTGTTGAGAAACGCGGGATAGAACGAGTTGAAAAGGATTTTTTCAGTGAAAAAATGATTTCTACTATTTCGTAAAGACGTAGATGGAAGCAGCAAATGCAGATCTATTCGTAATCAGAGCAAAATTCTGTACAAAACAGACTATTTTTTTAGGTCATTCTGAGGAGGAACACTCAAATACGTTTCCTTATTAGCCTAAAATTTTATTTTGTTTCTATGCCCGAAAGGGGTTTATCAACACAGGAAATCGGACAGGGGTTCTGGAAGGCTAGATTACGCTGAGGAACTAGCTGAAAAAGAATTTTGCTAAAAATATCAAGAATGAATATATGTTGATTAATCTGCACCTTTTTCATAGTACATATACGATTGTTTTGCAGGAAAAAGACGAATTCTAATCGATTCTACTGTTTATTATTGATCGTTGTATGGCATTTTTGCAGAAGCATTTGTTCAATACGGTCAATCTTATAATCCTAACATGTATGTCTTTGAGTTTCATGGTAGTCATTCATCGATTTCGTTGCACCCACACAATATCCTTTCAATTTCAAAACAATCTTACTCAAGTGCGCGTCTTTTGTTTCGTTCTTACCACACCAATGTATTTTGATACTCGAGCACGAGCAGTGAATTATACCTGGGGCCGACGATGTGATGGTCTATTTTTCATCACAGAATCATCGAATGATACTCAAGGCTTGCCTATAGCACCGATCGCAAATCTTACACCTGGCTACGAGCATTTAACACAAAAAGTTGTTTTAGCATTGCAATATGCATATGAATATCACTTCAATAATTTCGATTGGTTCGTTAAAGCTGATGATGATACCTATATTTTTATGGAAAATCTGAAGGCATTTTTGCTTAAACAGAACACCTCTGAACCAGTCACATTCGGATGGATTTCGAAGGTATGCATTTTGATAATTCAGCGTTTTTATGAAAATAGTTCATTGGGCTTCATGATTTGTCAATGTTTTTTTATTAGGAGATAGAAATTTGAAAAGAACGCGACTCTCGTTTGGCCGTTTTCAAATTTCATCTGAAAAGATGGAAAAACAGACAGAAAGCTGGTTTTTGAAGCGTAAAAACTCTGGAACACAAAATTTTTTTTCGACATTATCATGCATCTCTTTTGTTGATGCGAAACAAACGTGTACTAATATTGATAAAATGATCTTTTCTAGCATTTTTACGCTCGAAAAATCAGTTTTCTTTACGTTTTTGCATCTTTTCTGATGAAACGTGAGAACAACCAAACGGAAACTACGTTTGATCATTTAAACAAGTTTTCCTAAGTGTCTGTTTGCTAGGGTTATGACTATCACCAGGGCGGTGCTTCCTATGTATTAAGTCGAGAAGCACTAAAACGTTTCAATCAAGCTCATCAGAAGCCTAATACAACGTGTCGCAAATATGGTGGTCATGAAGATATCGAAATTCGAGCATGTCTTCGTAGTGAAGGTGTCTATATGGGCAACACACGTGATAAGGAAAATCGTGAACGTTTTCATCCTCTAAACTTTTATGACCTTTTCGTCGGTCCTATACCAGATTGGTACAAGGATAGAGCAGCACTTGAGCCTGTAACTGTGAGTATTCTCTTTTTGTTTTGCTTTTTAACGACAAAGTTAATTTTTCTTTTTCAAAGAGTTATGAATGCTGTGGTGAGGACGTAATATCATTCCACTACGTTCCTTGGAATGAACTATATTTAATTGACTCAATGTGGCATAGATTTCGACATGAAAGATAAAAGCACACAATCTGGAATTTGTTCTCATGAAAATATTGCTTTAACAAAATTGTTAGGATACAAAATATAATCTTTTGTCTTTTTATTTTCTTTTTCTCTTCCTTTCGTTCTGTCTCTCGCTTGATCTATTTCAGGTGTGTCGGGATATTCCATGTATTCTCTTTTCATTTGATATAACTGGAATATTTTTCTTCTCGCTCATGTGTTTTTTTTCAAATTCATTCATATATATATATATGCATAGTTTTTGAAATAAAAAGGAGATAGAGAGAGATCAGGCAGCGAACATCTAGCTGATGCATTGACCTATTGCTTGCTAAACTATTACTGCAATCAGTACTTGAACTCGATTGCCTGCCTTTTATTCATCAAACTTGTATGTCAATTCGTCATCGTTATCCCACACAAAACAAGACATAATCAATGCAATTATTCGTGAACTATCAACTCAATTAGCATCTACACAAAGCATGGCATCGTTGGATGTGGATAATAGACTAACAGATACCAATGAGCAAAACATCTCAATAATTCGAATATAACGAATCTGGAATTGCATCATATTATGAACACCACGAAAGCACCCGATGAACTAACGTTGTCTTCATGTCAGCAACTGCCAACGGCTCTATCATCTGAACAAGTATATTTTCTGCAATTAAAAGTCGATTATCTACGAAAAGAATTCGAATTGTTGAAGCTACAACAACCTCAACAATATATGCATGTCTCCAAGCCATACTCGTCGAATACATATGCGGTCGCTGCCAAGTCGATTTCTACTAGTTCATCGCAATCATCATGCTCATCGATGTCTACTGCATTAATGCATTGTATTATTAAAACAGATCCACTTCAATAGATGAAAGATTTTGTTAAAACGTTTCATGGCAATTCTGATGATGATGTTACCAACTGAATTAAAACGGTGTGGGTGTGGGTGTGGATATGTTCTCATCACACACACACACGCCCGCACCCACACCACACACACACCCACGCCCCGCACCCACACCACACACACACACCCACACCCACATCCACATCCACTCACACTCCACACCCCACACCCACACACCCACACCCACACCCTGAGAGTGATGCTTCCCTTGTCATCCTCAACCACTCCCATTTCCGCATAGTGAGGCTTAATCGTATCAAAATCGAAGGAAAGAACGCACGAATGAGGTTTCGTTGATACAGATGAAATGGAATAATAATCCCTACGCACTCAGAGCTCAGTGTAACTCATTTTCTGAATGAGTTTGAGATGATCATTTCAGGTACATGTTTCAAAGAAACAGGGCGCGTTATCCAACGGTATTTGTCATTTTTCTGTTTCAAGAGACATTCAGTAACATATGAATACTCTCATTCAATCGAGCCAAGCAACAGCTCAAATATTGAATCCAAACCGTTACTGCGTACAATTTGTTTGTTTCGAAACTTCATTCTCCATCGATCAATTTCTTCCAATCTGGCCATTGTTCGCTATTGCTTTCTTGAATAAAGACATCGAAGTACTGGTTCTCAACGAACTCCAAGATTCTTCTGCTCAATCCGTTCCATATCGCTTCATCTCACAAAACTGGTGGTTGACAGAATGCTTTGAAAAAGTCTTCTCCGACGATCAAATGCCGGTCAGAGCCAACTTTGGTCCTGTACGAATGACTCAAGCTTGTGACTTTGTGTTCAGCGATTACATATTGCCTCCGGATGTTGACCGGCGAGCATCGTTTTCGGACACAAACCACCACTCACCCGAATTGAAATAAAAGCTGCACAACAATAAATTGAAGTTGAAGGTTTACTGTTTTTTACTTGATCCAGTGGAAGTCAGGAGAGTCTATTCGACTGGCTGCTCGAGGTGCACGGTGTTCAGACTATCGCGGCGCAACGATGTGAGCAGCGATTGGCGATTCTTGTTCCACGAGACACTCAGCGTCTAGTACAGCTTGACATTTTTCACCAGTCATTTCGTCTTACAAGACAATAATTATTCCGAACTCGAACTCTAAATAATCGTATGGTTTATATTGCTATGTAACGCTTGTCTGAGACAGAATGAACCTTTCGATATTTTGAAGACATCTTTTTTAATATTTATCTTTTCAGAATTGATTTCTTATGAAAAGATTCGTCTTTTATTTCTCTACAACATGATATACATTCTATTAGTACAAACATCATCCATTATTTTACAAAGTGCAGTCTAAAAAACAACTCTTCTTTGTTGAATTATTTAGACTGCACTTTTTTCGTTGTTTATCAGGAGTTTCTTCTAAGGTTACTTTTTTTATCCCATTGATGAAATAGCAAATGGATCTTTTTTGGAATAGTTGAATCTATGTAAATGTAGAACATAATATGCAATCGTCAATGTTCGTTGTCTAGGATAGAAAAAAAAACTAGTCTTGCACAAATATTGTGCGGCATGACGAATGTTAGACTTTATATGGTTTTGTTGATATATTTCATCATTTCTGAAGCTTTTATCTCTATGATTTGCTGCTACCAGAAGCCTATCCTCTGCTTGGATTAAACAAGATCAGATATTCATGTCCAAAAATGATACTCACACAGTGAATCTGACATTTCAGTAGAATCATATGAAGTCTAACATTTATTACGTGCACAATATCTGTGCAAGACCATTTTTCTCACTATCCTAGACAACGCACATTGATCACCACATATTATATTCAAGAGAAGATCTATTTGGTTATTTCATCAATTGGATTAAAAAAATAATCTTGGAAGAAAATCTTAATAAACAACTAAAACATACAGTCTGTACAATGCGACAAAAACTGTCTTAGAAAATTCCTTTTCTTGAATTGCTTTTTAAAGTGCCTTGTAAAATAATGAAGGATGTTTATACTGACACAATAATATATCATGTTGTAGAGAACTAAGAGACGAATCTTTTCGAAAGAAATCAATTTTGAAAAGACAGATATTAAAAAAGATATCCTCAAAATATTAAGAGATCCATTCATTCTAGGACACCCATTAGAAAACGATTATTGATAAATGGTGCTAAAAGATTTCACGAAAAGAATTTTTTTGTTTACAAAAACAATACAATAAAATTACATAGACAACGAAACTACATTCAAGAATATCGTGTTTTTATTGCTTAATCGGACGAACAGCAATAGTAATCGCTCGAGGATTTTGACTTTGACTACCGTGAATAATGTCATATCGGCCTCCTTTGTAGAACAATTGAATTGTATTATGATGGAAAGCTTTTGATACAGTCAAGTTCAAATAGAAACTTGTAGCTGGATGAACGAAAGTTAAAAGAAAAGTTACATACATTAGAAAGCGTTCGATTACTTCTCGTCGAGCATCTTTAATTTGATATTGTGTAATTTGCTGGTATATCTCCATAGTAACTACTGGTAACGTAGAGATGATAAAGGACATTATTTCAGACAGAAATATAATCGTCAACGTACGATCTTTAGATCGATGAGTGTTCATGACAGTTACAGTCGTATTTACTGGTCGGACATGTATTCGATGGAGATTTTTCAATGTCAGGATCGCAAACATGCTCAAGAGAAGGCATGGTTCAATACCGGTGATTATTAAGTTGCTGTAGACAGCAAAACTCATATAATTACCTGCTTCGTAATGACAGAAATTGAAACCTGGATAAAGTTGAATAATATTAACACCGACTAACAGATGACTACAGAATACTACAGTAATAAATGTTACTCCGGCAATAGACCAATAGGCCAGACGATGAGTACTTCGTTGACGTGTCAATGTATTTGATGATGTAACAAGAACTCGATCGATCGATGCCAAAACAAGATAATGTCGCGATAGGATGGGACATACTAACCGAAGATAAAACTCTATTTTGCAAAATAAGACATTGTACAATGAGGCGTCAATATTAGTTATATTTGCTATAACTACTGGCAATAAGGTGAGTAATATGACGAGCAAATTGGCAGCATTAAATGCAATCAAGTAAATCGAGCCTGGATTTTGTCGTAAACTATTTTGACCAAACACAATGCAGCTTAAAATAGCACTTATAGTACCTATGACTGTTAGGGTAGAGCCAAAGATAACATATAATCGTGATGAAATACTTGAGTAGTAAGCATCGAAATCAGCATCAACACCAGATGTCATGTTAACACAATCACGTTTTGTATGTGTTTCAGAATGATACTACAAATCATGTAGTATATAATTACAGGAAAAGACTTTAAATCTACTATCGACATCAGAGTATAAATGATGAAATTATTTATTTGAATAACTTTTCATATGGATAGAGTAGGAAGCTGCAATTATCACTCTTTAAGTAGCAATGAAGATGAACTTCAGATATCTCGAATTTCTATAATCTAAGATCTGACTAAGCAGCTGTGTTCTTGATAAACATCAATTTGATGTCGATTGGACACTTTTATCGCGTGACTACTGAAATTTCCTATCTTTTTCTTTAAGAATTGGATGGAGCAACAGTTTTGTATTCATTTTGCTTCTGATATAACGTTACTATGAAATGTTGTAGAGACTTCATATTATTTTTTGTTAGAAAGAGCGAAGTGTCCAGGACAAAAATAGATCTTACCATTCGTTTGATCTTGTTTCAGTTATCAAAAGAGGGAATCGCTGGGAATGGTGCTTATTTCTTGCATAGAAAAAATCCAAAAATTCTCGCTTTTTGTCGGTTAAACGAGAGCAAACTTTTTCCAAACAATACTACCACATGAAAAATCCATCGAATCGGTCAATTATTGAATCAAAACAAGTCGGCATGTGTGGATACTTAATCCTGTCCTCGATTGATTGGTAAAAACTGCAACTCTTGCATTTATTCCAATCAAAAGTTGCACAAAAAACACTCACATCCCTGACACTCGGACGTCTACACAAAATTCTATAGATGACTTGTTTCTATCTTATTCAGTGAAATGACACTCTCTTTTCTTTATTATTTTAAAGGAGAGAACTAATCACAATAAGCGTTGAGAGCGTAGTCAACGCAGTATTGAGTTATTGGTGGGATAAAAAGAAAAAATGTCCGAATGTATTTTTTTCACTTCGATAAGTTGTATATTATCTACGTTGTCACATGCATGAATTGCGCATCTTTCTTCAAGTGTCGTTCATGCAAAACATAATTGCTAATAGATGTTGAAATGCATACGAGTGCTTCCACACAGTATGTTTCGGACTTACGTCGAATCACGATTTAAGTATACTGGTCTTGTAGTCCTCGTCGAGTTGTGTAGGAACTTATATTTAGTTTTGATTCAGATTATGCACTAATTGTGGTAGAGCAGCCACAGAGGTTGATTTTATTTAAAATTGCCTGCCGAAATCTATCTGTTCTAAAAGTTTTCACAGTTATAGCATTAGAAGCTATCATTTGAAACGTAGGTGAAGTGATCTATAGATTTGAGTATTTCTGTTTGGAATTTACTTAGGACTTTGTTTCAAGTACAGATGGGCGAGCTCTATCCAATCGCATCAATGGATTCTCGATGACTCAAAAAATGCTATCAAAAAACGTAGAGTCCTATTGATTAATATGGTTGAGTTTTCCGTAGCCACCCTAAAAAGAATGTCTTCATTCTGAAAGCGACGTTATAACGATCAAGAGTTAATTTTAATGATAAAGAATGACATTAAAGTTAAATAGAAAGTGTTGGAAATCAATTGAGTATCACGATAGAATTAATATAACGATCAAGCTAATTATGTTGTCTACTTTTTTCGATTCAAATCATCGTGTTTTAAATTATCCAATTGGATTTGATAGCTGTAATTCAAATAGTTCTCTCGATATTCTTTTGTATTAGACAGAGAGATTGATCAACATAGTCATCTTGTCTTTTCCAAGATGATGAATCAATGAATTGTATATGAATCAGAGCAAAGAGCATCCATTTATTGAGTCTTCCACATTCAACGATGTTTCTTCATTGCTCTGATGAGATTGTCTACAAAAGACATATATATCCATTGATCTGCCCTTCATTTTGTCATATATTATAGAACATTCTTCTTCTTTATTCTGTTTTGTTTCATGTCATCTAATGCCATTTGAACGCATTCAATCATAGTTTCATTTCATAAGTCGAGCAAGATCAAGAAATTTTCTCAGAGTGATTTTCAGATTGTTCGCAAGAAAACTGTGTTTGTACCACCTAAAAACGCTTCATCGATTCAGTATCCTAACCATTGATTCTCTCTATGCTCTTTCATATTTAATGAACTTGTACTCTGTAATGGCGAATTCGCGCATCTTTGTTTGCTGATAAAGACAGTTGTACTTAAAACTGCAGTAGATCATCATGACAGAACAAAGTTCATTATCGTGATAATCGAATAATATCTGGAAGAAGGAGAATACTTGTCTTTGACCATGGCAAATGTTAGTCTTTGCATGAAACAAACGAAAATACAAAATCATCTGATAATATCAAACGATAAGAGAAAGAAATAATCCCTAATTTCTCTGGTATGTGATGTGATTAAAAGGTTTTTCCAATATTCTATGTATATCCATTTTTATCAATCGATTTTGAAGCAAACATCTCCAGTTCGTAAATTCATATTGATGTTTCCATATGCATCGATTTCTCACAGAAGATTCAACAAAAAAAAACGTTCTGGATTATTCAAAAGTTTCTTTAGACTTTGGAAATCTTTTTTTCCTACTGATAATATGATAACTTTTCATTCATTTGTTATCCACTTGTGTGAGGACAATGATTTTTATCTTCGTTTTTTTCTACGACTAGTGCAATCAACCATCGAAATGCAATTGTACTTACTACTTCTTTTTAAATTCTTGAGGGTTGGGAGTGGGTGTCGGTGTGGGTGTGTGTGTTGGTGTGTGTGTGGGTGTGTGGGTGTGTGGGTGTGTGGGTGTGGGTGTGGAGGCGTGGATGTGGGTGTGAGGTGTGGGGGCGTGGGTGTGGGGTTTGGGGGCGTGGATGTGGGGTGTGGTGCGTGGGTGTGGGTGAACGTATGGTTGTGGGTGTGAATCTTGCTCTTATCTTCATTCACACACCCACCCACACCCAACCATCGTTCTTCGCTATTCAAATCTGTTTTCATCCAGATTCACGACAACTTCGCCTTTGTTCATTGTTATTTTTCATCTTTATTTCAAGAAAAGAACTGTTTTCAACATGTGTCAACAAAAACTTTTAAAGAAAGAGAACATATCTAAGAAAAACGGTATCATAGTATCAGAATCGGCTTTTTAAATTGCTTTAGTTGAATTTGATGTTTCACAAGTAAAAAAATTATTCTTCGTTCGAAGATTGTGTGTGAGTATCGTCCTCTATACTTGCAACATCTTCTTTGCTTGCACTCTTATTTTCATTTGCAGCATCTTCACTGAGGTTTGGCTTCATAAGTTTTAAGTATTTTACGTCTTTGGTTAATTGAGTCCTATCTTGTTTTAATGAGGGACGTAAAGCAACCATTGCTTCTTCATTTACAGCAAAACCTTGTTTTAAAGCTTCTAACGAAGAAAAGAAGGAGCACCAACTAATAACTGCTCTAAAACATTTACCTGTAATAATCTTAAATCGATCATCTTCAGTATTGAAATGTTTATTCAATAGTATTTCTTTTCATGTATATATCTTCATTATCATTTTTCTGAGAAACGATCGCATAGAGGTTAAATCGTGTTTTAATTCCATGAAATTTGTATTTTTGAACATCTGAGGTCAGAAAATAAATTATTGTATCAAAGTTTACGGATGTAAATTTAAGGGATACAATAGCAAAACGTTTTTCGATGTTGTTGTAATAGAAGATGAATCAGTGGTTGAACTTCTTAGAGATGGAGCTGTTGTTAATACATCAGTTGCATTTCTCGATAAAATATGCTAAAAAAAATTGGAGAAATCTTTCACTTAAAGTAATAAGCCATACGAAGTGTAGCATCTGTCCATACTTACATTTTTAATGTATTTTTCATTTTTTGACAATCGTCTCAGTTGAAAAGCAATAGAGGCAACATCTTCGCCAAGAGTATTGACATACGTTATTTAACTATTTAAAGCTTCTTCAGTATTTTGTTAATCGTTCAGCTATGAAAGAAATTTTAAAAAGTTAAAATCTGCTTTCCAAGCACTTGAAAACAATTATGGGTGTGGGTTAGACCCCGGCGTGACCAACTTTTTTGGTCACGGTCACGTCACAGTCACGAGGGGTTGGTCACGGTCACGGTCACGGTGAGCTCAGCCCGTGACCTTGAGTCACGGCTCTTCTTTCTGGTTCCTCAATATTAAAAAAACTTTCGAAAAAGAGCTATTGCAAAGTTTTCGTTTACTATTAAAAGTGATGGCCGCGGGGGCTTGAAGTAGCTTCGTGGAGGTGTCCGTACTCCCCCTCAGGATTTCCAAAATCCCAAATACTAGAAATTTCCCAACTTTTCATAAAAAACGATGACCAGAGGGGGTAGCTTCGCGAAGCTCACCTACTCCCCCTAAGGGGTTTCCAAAATTTCGAAAAAGTTTCCGTGACTGACCGTGACCAAGCTTCAGCCATGGTCACGATCACGGTCATGACTCTTTATTACTATTTAATCGTTTACTTATCGTCATATGCTTCGATTCAAATAAGTTAATAGAGTAAAAAGTACATACAATAGTAATATCGACGTCAATTAGCTTTTCACAACTTTGTCATCCGTAACCTTTCTTCTAATCACTTCACCCTATAAAAACTACTAACAAATCTACAATGAAATCATCAATTATTACTTTCTCTTCATTTCGGGTGTGGGTGTAGGGCGTGGAAGGGTGTGGGTGTAGGGTGTGGAAGGGTGTGGGTGTGGGTGTACATGAAGAGAAGACCTATACTCATACGCACATCCACACCTATCCATCCACACCCTAAATGTAATTAGATTTACCCTTCTCTGATATGAAATGATGAATAACAGTATTTATTATCATTAGATTTTTCTTCAGCATTCATTTCAAATTATTAGTTATCAATAAACTAACATGCAGTTCCAGCAGGTCGATTATTTGAGGATATCATTGAACTTTTTTTTTTCGATAATACGACATGATTTAAAAGTAATGGTTCGTATGATGATGATTGCTGCGTCATATAAATAAAAATTAGTGAAAACAACAATAGACAGTAAAATAATTTTTAACAGCGCTGGAACCGGATCGGTGCCGGACCGAACCGAACCGGACCGATTTGGAAAACCTACCGGCCCGGAAAATACCGGAAATTCACCGGTTGAAAATTAAAAATAACTATCTTCCTTTTCTGTTTTTTTGTTAAAAAAAATGTTATTTTTGATTTTTCCATCAAGTATGAAGTTGATGAAATAGTTTCCCATCGTTATACAATATATATCCCCCTGGAAAAAAATAGTGTCACACGATATTCTTGATATATCATTATTATAAATTAACATTTTGAGTAACGTAGTTATATATTCGGATAGCCTGTGGAATTCTCTACAAATCTATATATGTACGTTTTGAATTGCACTTGTTTGCTAAAAATAAATTCAAGCACAACAAAGGTACCCTCATCGCCAGATTCCCTGGAAACGCATTTTGTTTCTTCATCCATTTTTTCAAAAATATTTTTAATATAGGAACAAGTTATTACAAAAGTAAGTATATATTCTGAAAGCGCGTGAAATTCGCTAGTATCCTATATGTTTATGTCTTATCTTGCATTTCTTTGCTGCAGTGAATAAATGCAAAAAAAGACATNCTTTGTAAAACTGTATCTATATGAGCCTCAAGTACTTAGAACGATGTTTTAATTGGCATATTAGATACGAAATACCATTATCTCTTTTAATAATAGTGATATTAACAGATAATTAGGGTATGAATGCAAAGGATAGCCACACTCATACTCTAAATACCACATATCGTTTTGTATAATTGTATTACGTTACATACAATGAATTCATAGTTCATTAAAAATTCTTAGAAAAAAAAAATACTAGTCAATTAATACTTGAAGCTCATAAAGATATACTTGAGTAGGGATCATTCTTTGTTAACATATAAACTGTTTTTTGTTGAGATCTAGAACTTATGAAACTTCCTGAATGTACCGACAGATTTGATGTTCTTGTTTCAAGATAGAAACAAATCAAAAGACTTGAAACTTTCAAAATAAACTGAACTTTAAAATATTGTAGTATCTCTGTAGTAATAAGCTAAGGAATATGAACTGTTTTCAGGCTATTCATTGCTCATTAGAATTTACAGGATGCACACAGCCTTAGCTCACAGACGATTAATCAGCTGGAAGATTTCCTTCATAAAAGTTAACTTGATATTATTTTTCGAAGTTGAATGTTATATTACTCATATAGATTATTTACAACGAATTTAGCGACTAATTAAGTCTGAAAATTAAAAATATTAATTCTCAGTATAAGATGACGTAATTTATCATTGATGATGTTCAATCGAAGTTAATGATTTCATACATGGTAATGTTAACATAAGAATTTTTTCATTTTATTCTGCATGCGATGAACAACGCCATCTCTATGCAATACGGAAGTCTTTTTCTTTTCTTTTGTTCATTTGAGGAATGGCGAACTTCAATGAACATGGCTACAGGATGTTAGTTAGTCAGCTGCATTATACAAAACATATAAGCCATAATTATCTCATTTGTGTCATGTTTTTTTTTCCGTAATAATGGAATTTAAATCCATTTCCTTATTTTTAGATATGATCTACAGGTGCATTGATCATTATATTTTATTATTACTTTTTTCATCAAGTGAATGCTTATCTACTTACAATTTATTTCATATAAACCTTTGTTGTCATTGTTGCTTGTCTTTTTTGTGAGTATTTATATACAAGAAGCAACATCATCGACATTGCTCATGAATGATTACAATAATAATTATGAAAGACGAGCTGCAGAATGTAGGACAATATTTTAAAATAAATAAATAAATAAATAATTTGATTTTTTAATTTTCAATAGATATAATGACTTCAGCAACAATTGATGGTCTTAAACGTTCAAATGTATGCGGTGATGGTTATCGTATTGAAGGAGCTGTTCTTACATCATATCCATATTCAAAACGTGAAACATATTTGCCTTATGAAAATTGCTTCATGACATTTCAGGTTTGATGGAATTGATAATTAAAGAATATTAAATATATGGATTCTAGGCTCGACAATCGAATAATCAAATGCGTATACATATTGTCAGACTTGATCTGAATGATATTCATGGTGGTACTGATTGTTTAGATTCACTTCGTTTTTATAAATCAGTCTATATAACACGAGAAGATAAACTTGTATGTGAAAGAAGATCTTTTTTTGTCAAATAATGATTTATTTTATTCTATTAGGATTCTATTGAATGTGGACAAATTGCTGAGACAGAAAATTTCAATATTATTTCGCCTACAGGCATTGTTACTGTTCATTTTAGGTTCGTAGAAATACAAAAAAAAAAAAAAATGTTAATTGAATTTGTTTTTTTATAATTAAAATTTTATTAGTACTGATGGTGGAAATGTCAATGGTCTTGGATTTAAAGTAATTCTTACTGCTTTTCGTTTACGTAAGTTTTATTAAAATCGATTTTTCTTCGAGATAAGTTTTAAAATTTTCATATTTTATTTAAATAGCAAATAAAACACATCCATGTGATCAAAATGATGATGAATTTCTTTGCAATAATGGTGATTGTATTAGTAGTTTACTTTTATGTGACGGTAGAATATTTTTATTCGTTATTTGATATCTTTGTTTTTTTTTTTTAATATCTTTTTTTTAATAGGTGTTGCTCATTGTTTAGATGGATCAGATGAAATACCAAATCGTTCTTGTACTTCGAATATAGAAGAATCTATAAATAATCTTAATATACAAGCAAATCATCGTGCAATGATTGCTAAACATCAACATTGGCGTGGAGTGTTAATTATTGCTTTTTTACTTATTATATTTATTGTCTTTATACTTTTTGTGGCATATTTTATTTGTCGTCGTTGTGTTGGCTCATCAATACCAGTACCTACCAATAATAGAAGACGAAATTATAGAACTATTGTTCACTCTCGTATGTTATTATAATTTTATCTTTTAGTTTGAAGTGAAAATAATTTACATTCTTTTTTAGCTTTAAATGGTCCTAAAAATTCTACAACAACACAAGTAGTTATAGAAAATGAAAAAAATCGGAAACGTCTTGATGACGACTATAATTTACTCTAAATAATAGTCTCATTTATTTTGAATATATTGTTTTGTAATTCTGCAATTGTATTCCATATAGTCACATTATTATTTTTATTTTTGAATTTGTAATAGTGATATTTCATAAGAATTCAATATAGATTTGTATATCAATGTATTACAAATAGAAATTTATGTTTATTTAAATAAATTACAGTAAGAAACAAACAAAAATCATGAAATCATTAAAAATAAAAAAATAATAATAATCAATTGTTTTCCTTTTTAAGTTTTCTATTCCTGTAAAAGATAAAAAAAATATTTAAAAAAAAAAACAATTTTTTAGATTTGATTTATTACTTTATCAAAAAGTCTTCGACCAAGAAATTCAGCAACAACACCAAATTTATCTTGTTCTTTATCTAATTCACGATGAAATGTTTCATGAATATCTTTATCAGGTCGTTGACTATTTATTAAATCAAGCCATTTACTAAAAGACATAATTTATTCAATTTCATATGACTGTAAAGAGACAAAATATTAAAATTGATTTATGTCAATTCTTATAGAAACGGAAGGACGATCTAATAAAATAACATTAGGAAATGTTAATTTAAACACTAATTAGATGAATTAACAAGTTCATGCTAAAGATTAAGTCTCTTTCTATGTCAAAAATCAATTTTGAGATTTTTATTGTTTTACTGATGATGTTGAAATAAAGAAAAATGAGTTTTTATTTTTTTAGAATATTAGTTTTTATTGCTTTTTGAATTTTTTCTAAGATTTTTCATAGTGAACAATTAAAGCGTTTGAACCGAGTAAAATCGCACTATATATATATTTTTCTTCTTCTTACTAGTGTTCATTTAATTATATAATTATTTTTACAATACTATATTGAAAGAGACGCCTTCTAACATAAGTATGCATTTCTTCTCTTTCGTCGGCTTCATTCTTAAATGTTTATAATCATTCCATGTTTCTTCTCATCTTTTATCTATTCAAACAGTCGGTTTTGTTGGTGTGAATGGATGACATGAATACTCCTTGTATGCTTTTTTTTAGACGCTGTATATATACGCGCAATTCTTTGTTTGATCTATTATAGGTGATAACACATCATAGACTACGATCGATGTGGTTCTTCTAATACTTAACATATAGCCGGATNGCGTAATATCTGTCACATAGATTTATATCACTTGTAGGACAGAAAGATGAGCGAATCACTTTCCAGTTATAACACTCGAATGATCAAGTGAGATGAAAACATAACAACATTAGTCAAAAAAGATATATTAATATCATTCAAAGTACTACGACTATCTTCATTTTTAGTTCTTCCTTGTTTAGATGAAGAACATCCAAGGCCGGTAAAATCAGTAACAGAAACGCGTTTTTAGGAGCAAAACTGTGGATTTTTACACATTCAAAAAGGTTTTTTTGAGGGGAAAAAGCGACTTTGAAGATGATAACATCCATAAACTGGTTTTTTTTTAAAGAGAAACTTGAGATTTTTAGTGTAAAACGTGCGCATGTTCAGTCATTAAAGAGTCCTTTGGCTGCTGAGAACGTTTTATTTTTAAATGACATTGTTAAAAAATTTCGAAGTCGGAATCGGAGTCAAAAAATAAAAATTTTCGGAATCGGAGTTGGAATCGGAGTCATAAAAAGAAAGATTTCGGAATCGGAGTCGGAGTCGGGTTTCGGAATGAAAAAAGTTGACTCCGCAGGTCTCTACTTTCAAGCTCTTTTCATTCTTGAATTATTACAAAAATCAGCATAGTCATTACGTTTTTTGGACAGACATTAGTTTCCATTTGCACATAAATTGATTTTTATTGAATCTCAAAACTTATAAAACATCTTATATGAATAAAAATGTATATGGATATGATTATCTCTAATTATATTTATGTTATTTGATCGTTTTTCTATTTACATATGATTTAAGTTTAATAAACTCTATATGAATTTTTTTCAAATACATACTTTTCTTTAATTAAATCATTTGATACAAAAAAATAAATTGCTCCACTTTCACAACCAAGTGCTATATGACGATCAGTTATAGCTACAGCACATATCTATAAAAATATACAAAAGTACTTTATGAAACAAAACAAAAAAAAACACTAAATAATCTGATCTACTTTTGAATTTGGATGATCATTTGCTAATAAGGATATAATTTTTGCCGGTTCAGTATTTTCTTTTTCTACAAGTGCCTATGTAAAATAAAAATAATAGCATATTCATTAATTTCTAAGAATATAAACAATTTACTTTATCTGTTTTCCAAAGTTTAAGTGTTTGTTTTGTTTCATTTTCATCCATCTTAAATTAAAAAAATAAACTTTCATTATTCTTTTTGTTTTTCATGTTAATAAAATTGTCTTACTCCAATAGCTATAAGTGTATCTCCTGCAGAATGTGCTAATAATTGTAATGAAATATCAAATTTATGAATGTGATTTGCCTCATAATCACGATTGATAACACATATTGAACCATCACTACAACCAAATACTAATTGACCATCACCAGCACCATTTGTACTAGTTGATGCAATAACTTGTATATGCTTGATATAAGATAATAGAATAATAAAAATGTTTTAAATTTCCTTTTTTTTTTAAAATTTATTTATTACTTTCAGCTCTTCTAATGGTTTTCCATCTTTTCGTTTGACTATTTCTTTATCAAAAAATCTAAATCGACGCCACTAAATAAAACAAAAAAAAGTTTATTTCAAATAATTATTTTTATTTAGTTGGTTGAATACCTGATGAATACCTAAAGCCATGGTAAGAAAAAAGTTAATCTGAAAATAATTTGTTTTTTTAATTATTTCTGGTTTATTATCAAGAAAATTTGTTTTTTTTATACAAATATAATCATTATGATTCGTATAAAAATAAATATTTTTTATCATTAGATTATTTTCAGGATTTTATGCTAAAATAAAATCAAGTATTGGAAAATGTTCTTGTTTTTCTCATCGAAATTTGAAATATTTACTGCGAGAGATGTGAACGAGATGATCCCGATGCAGAAGATGAAAGAGTTAAATGCTAATGGAATCGAGAAAAAGATAAAAGAAAACTTGAGAATAATTCATGTGTACAATATTTCTTTCATAATAGGTATTATCATACTACTAAAATGGTATACGAAAACTTTTTTGTTTTGAAAAATAGTCAATAGGAATACTATTAGCACTGAAATTTTGTGTAACCTGTCACGGGACCAAATATGACTGGTTCCGCTCATTTTTAGATAATTCATATGAAGTATTATTCTAGTTTGTTTTTGATAATATTACTTGACATTTGATTAAATTTGTATTTAAACTTTATGAAATATTTGATTGAATATCGATAATGTTGATGATAATATGGATCGATTTGTTGGTATCATTAACATAATAGAAAATAACTTAGTGTGGGAGTTTAAGTTATTCTTATTAGAATAAATTGATAAAACCATTCGTCATTTGCTGCATGTAGTGTTTTTGTGTCTAAAACGTCGATATATATGTAAAATCTTGAAATATGTTTGTTTGAATACCAAAATTCAAATGTTAATTAGAAATTTGTAAATAGTGACATTTAAATTATCTGTTAATATAGTTTTTCAGATTTGAAATGACACATATTTCCATTCATCTTCTTTTATTTGTCCTGTCTAAACCTCGCTTAATGACTATCTGCAAAGATATAAAAAATAATCTTTTCATAATGCATCATATCTACAAGCAAGAATGTAGTTTTTTTTTTCACTTATTTAATATGCTTGTAAACATAAAAAATACTATCTTTGTTTGTTTCATCTTGCTTCATAACAAACAAATACTGAGCACTTCGCTTTCTCTTCTGATAGACTTAACAGTTAAAGAAACAAAAAGAAAAATAATAATAATAATAATAATAATAATAATAATAATAAATGATAAATATGTATGAATCCAGCATTGAAATAAGAAAAACAAAAACATAATGCTTTGTGCTAATCTTTAAGAAAAAAAAACGCAACAAAGATAGGACGCAATTATATAAAAGCTTAAAACACATATCTATCATATGTACAAACGAAAAGAAATAAAAAAAAAAAAAAAAAAGAAACAAGAACTTGTTGCTAATAAACTCGAACACCTGAGCATGAGATTAGAAAGAAGCAAACCAATAGATTTGACATATTATGAGAAAACTCGATAGTATCACACATCACCGGTTGTCAAAACAAATTAACAAACACATATATATAAATATATATAAATCACACATAATTTTCACGACCTGTTGATAATTTATTATGATTAATATGTTCAAATAGTTTAGCTTTTTCTCTTACTGACCATGATATATCACATGGTCGAAGTTCATCATTAATATCAAATGAAAATGATTTAACTGGTTGTACTGTTGGTGTTGGTACACGTCGTTCAATTGATTGATAACGTGATATATTTGTTGAAGAATTTTCATTTGAATATATTCGATTTTGATTGATTATAATCGGTGTTGATTGACGTGGTGTTCGTTTTTCATTATGATGTTCGGGATCAACTGATTTATAACGAAGTGCATTTTGTCTATGACATGGACGACGTCGTCCATTTGATGATGTTAATAATAAATCATCAATTGGTTTCATTTGTATAGCTGTACCAAGTTTAAATGGACGACAATCAGAATGATGAATAAATGTTCGATCACGTTCGATTTTAATTTGTGTGTTTGAATTTGTTTGACTGTGATGTTCATTACGATTGAATGTATATATTTGATTTGTAGTTGCTGTTAATGGACCATTATGTCGAGAACGACCATCAACTATAATTGGTTGTTGTCGACTATGACGATCAATAGATAACGATGTTTGTGTGTTTAATGAAGGTGCATCGAATGTTTTAGATGTTGTCGGTACATTAAATGATGCTGAACGTATTGTTGAAATATTAGTAAGACGTTGATTAATGGTACTTAATGGTTCACTTGTTAAATCTAAATCTTGTTGCTCAATTTGTGTTGATCTAAGATTGAAAAGAAAAATGTAAGTAAATACTTGAAAATTTTCTTGTTTTTTTTTTCGTAGCTATTTAAATATTTTTTTTTTTTTGTGTCTTAATATAGCATTTCGTTAGAGATTGTTTATCTGAATATAACCATCCCTTTACCTACCGATTTTATTTTTACTTAAACTATTTATAATCTGCAAAAAATAAAAATTTAAAATATTATTATTGTTTGATGTTTTTATTTTGAGAATACTTTAGAAGAAAAAGAAAAGAAAACATTTAATTTATGAAATATGCGCATTTTTAGACATGCATTTTGTTTATAATGGGATAGAATTCGACTTCAATTCAAAGTATGAATGTGCTATTAAAATAACGAGAGCGTAACACATATTTTATTTAAAGTACATATTCATCAGAATTCATAGAGTCCTACCTGCTTGCAAGAGAAAACCTTCAGAGGTTTTCTATGATCTTCAAACGAATAAAGTTTTCAGAAGTGAGAGATCTCCTATCGTATCTTATCTATTTTCATAATTTTCAATTAAAAAGATTTTTAAGATTTTTCATATTACTAATTTAAGTTTCGATTTTGCGAGAAATGAGTTAAGTAAAATTTTCTATTGTGTAAAAAGATTTCTTTTATCAAGGTAAACTGTAAATCATATTCTGGTTTTCACACAATAAAACAAATGATTATACTGATAGATTTAAAAAGAAAACGAAATCTTGAAAATTTACCTTGTCATCATAGATTCTTCATCAATATTTACAGTTTTTGATTTAATTAATTTTGATCGTCGTTCATTTGTTAAATTATTACTATTTACTAATGATGTCGAAGATAATATTTGTTGTTCATTTTTATTTTTTATATTATTATTATTATTATTATTATTAGCATTTAAAGTTTTATTTTGTTCATCATCATCATCAGCTTCATCTGATAAATGATGAAATTGTTTAAGTGATGATGCACGTTTAACATCATTTGTTGATAAACGTTTTGAATCATTTGTTGATTGTTGTTGATATTTTTGATAATATTCTTTATTACCTAATGATGAATGACGTGATATAGGTTTTGATCGTTTTATTTTTCCTGTTGAAATATTATGAACTGTTGTTGTTGATGAACGTACACTTGAATCACCAATAGTACCATTAAATTCATCATGATCAGATTCATCTGTTGTATCATTTGTTAATTTTTCTCTTTCCATAAATTGTTTTGATGGTTTATAAAGATTTTTTGAATTTCGATAACGATTTAAAGATAATATTGTTGTTGGAAGAATAATACTTGATAAAACTGTACCTTTACCACATGCTATTGATGTTGTCCAATTAGGTGGTCTTGAAAATATACGAGATGTATTACGTCGAAAATATTCACTTATTTCTGAACTATCATCATTTAATGGTTGATCTGATGTAGCTAAACCTGAATCACGAGATCGATTAACAATAGGTAAATGTGGTGATGATTCAACTTCATCAAGACTTTCAATTGAAGAAGCAGTTGGTCGAGCTTATAAAATAAAACAAAGAATATATAAAAAAATAAAAATAATTTTAATATTATGAAAGATATTTTACTTAGATTAGGTATATGATGTACAATAATACGTTTATCTGGGACACATGTTAAAACATCCGAACCAAATATTGATGTACAATTAACAATTAAAAATTCAACTATTGAAGACATAACATCAGCTTCTTGTTTACCTGATGCTATTGTTGTTGATTCAGTTTTAAATAAACTATTCGATACACATAAACCTAAATTAAATGGATTCATTCCATTTGTATCAGCATTTTGTGATATATGATGAAGTATACATATAAAACCTTTTAATAATAAATGATTCGATTCTGAAAGTGTACTGATTATGCTAAATAGAAAATAAATAATCAATATGATGTAATATAGATTTAAATATTTAATTTAATCATACCTTTTTCGTGCGAAAGAAATTTTTTCTTGTAAATTCGGAAGACGAAGACATTTTTTCCAATTATCATATTGTATTGCATTAAATACTGGTTCAGGTAATGTTCGTAAAAAATGCTAAAAAATAATAAGATTAAGCAGGATTGAATAGGATATCGTGCAGGAATAAATACTAAAGGGATAACTCTTTTCATTCTTCTTACTTTTGTTTTTCCTATAATAAAAATACTTTTATTTCTATTTCCATATAATTCTCTTTGTTCGTTTCTTTTTGCCTTTTTTTAAAAAATTTTCTCAATATAAAACTTACTTTAAATATTCCAGCAGCTAATATTGGATGCAAATCTTCATCTTGTAATAAAATATTTCGTTCGATTTTATCTATAGCATCTCTAACTGATCGTGTGTTTGCAACTTTACGAAAAATTCCTGTTGTTTCTGGTCCTTTGAAATAAAGTACTTCAAGTAGTTTCTAAAAAAAAAAAAACAAAAGAAAATTCAAACAAATGAAAAATAATTTTATCTACTTGAATAACAGGTGGTAATTGATTATCATATTTTTTACAAAGTTCATCAAATGTTTGTCCAAAAAATTGATTTAAAGGTTTTGCTCGTAAAGGATTTGTTGTTGTTGATGATGATGAATGATAATCATCATTATATTGTTGTTGTATTAATGATTTCGTATGATGATCTTTTGTTTTACGTTTATGAAAAAATCGATGTTTTTTATGTTGATTATCAATATCACGTTTTCGTAATTCAAAATCATGAGAATTTATTGAAATATTATTTAAACTCGTTGTTGAACTATTATGTTGTGAATAAATTGTTGCTGTACTATGTAATGATAAATGATCATCACTATCAAATGATGTATGATTTGATGTTTTTAAATGTTTCATTTTTATTGCATATGGATATTCATGACCTATGAGATTAATAAAGAAAAAAGAAAGTCAAAAAAAAAGAAAGACAACCATTTTATCATACTATATGAATAACGATTTAAATTGTATCGTGATGTGCTATGGCTTACTCGAAACATTATCAACTATCTCTATTCGATTTGAATTCATCTTTATTTGTTCTGTTCTATTGAAGTTATTCTTTTTTTCTTTTTGTTCTTTCTTTTACCTCAAATGTTTAAAATAGTTAGGAGTTCATATAGATCGTGTATGCCCATCGTCAAATGTTTGTCTTAACTATGTACATGATCAATATGTTTCACATTCTTTTTCTTTTCGTTGAACGACTTTTCTTTTTTTCATTCAACTCAACCTACGATATACAATCGATTCTTTCCTTCTTTTTTTTTTTTGAACCACCAATCAATTCAGATCATTTTTCTTATCAAGAATAGGTTCGATGTATACATGAATGTGAGTGTGTGTGTCATTATTCTTTTGATTGTCTAATGAGGTGGATCAAACTCGTAGTGACTTTGGTTTCCCGTAGGTGATTAACATATTCATGTCATCATGACCGATACATTTTTCGTTTCACTCGTCTTTTTCTTTTTCACTAATTCTTTAAGAAATGTCATGAATACAATTTATATGTAGGCGAACTCCTCCTCTCCACCTTCATGTCATTTTTTTTCTTTAATAGACAAACAAAATCTATGTGATATTTCGAATGATTATATTAAATTTTTATATTACCTCGTAGACGACGATTACGATCATAAATAGTTTCAAGACTTTTCGAACGTAGTGTTGCCGTACGAATAAAAGAGAAAAAACTTGAATGATGATATCTATCATACTTTCTTGATCGTTCATTAATCATTTTTTCTTTTCGAAAACGAAAAAAATAAATGCTTCTTCGAAACGTTGATTTGCACCCGGAATAATACACAAATGAATCAAGAATTGCTGGTTACATAAATATCTTAAGTACTCTTGTAATTTGACAAGAGAAAAAAAAAAGTAGAAGACGAAGAAGAAAAAAAAAGCCGAAACGACAAATGAGAATTTAGATGCATGTACATATTTATGTATATATATATATATGTACCAGTAAAATGAAGTTTCTTGTTCTGTCTCTCTTTTTTTTTTCCGTTGCTTTCTTAAGTATCAAAACGCGTAGTATCATGCAAACAAGAAAGAAAAGGAATTTGAGCACATGAAAGAACTAAATTTACCTATCAATGGTATTAATTGTACTTGATTGGATTGTAAAGAAGAATTTACTAGTTGATTTGTATTATTCGTAATGGATATTATATTTGAATCATTTAATACGAATAAAATATAATTATCCACACATGAATCCTTTATTTTAATAAAAAAAAAAAAAAAAAAAACAATAGAAAAAAAAAAGCATAAAAGAATTTATTTTGCATACTCGTAAATGGCATGTATCAATACATTTTTTAATTAAATCTCGAACGGTTTCTTGTGGTCGAATACTAATTACTTTACGCTAGAATAATAAATAAATATAAAAATATTCTAATTTTATATATATATATATCATTAAACTTACAATCAAAAGTGAAGTTGTATTATTATTATTTAGATCATATTCTTGATTTTGCTCAATTACAACACGAACATGTTCAATATTTGAACTATTTAATTGCCACCAAAAATTTAAAGTTCTAAAACAAATATATATATTATATTAGAATAAATACAAAAAAATTAATTAAATATTTTTTTTTTCGATTAGTTTAATAACACAGAAAGAAAATTATATCGTTGGAATTCAGCTAGAGGAAATGTTTATTGTATATAATGTATTTCTTATGTTAGCTATTAATCATGTTTGTTGACATATAATTAAAGAAGAAAAAAAAAAAAAAATACATAATTCTTCAATTATGAATAGGTTTAGAGGGCAATTTTATATATTGACCATAAGTAAAGTGTGCCATAATTTAACACCGAAAATATTTTATTAAAGAATTGAAAAAAAAAACGACGAATTTTATTTGTAAATAAACCTTTAATATGATTTTGATCTTGAAATAGAATAAGAAAATTATTCATATGTCTGAGAAGATAATGCAACAAGAATTTCAGGATAATAAAATTCAGGATCTCTAGAAAACTGTAAAATAGAAGTTTCACTTAGTTATACAGAGCAACGTGTCATTTATGTACATCAGTTTAAAAAAATATATCATGAAAACGTGAATATCGCTTTAACTATTCAAGCGATTTATGTGAAATTTTATTTCATATAAATGATTTAAACTTTTTGAACTTGTTATGCATTTTTATTCTTTAGCTTAACGAGATCTGTAACAGACGTCATGGTTCTTGCACAATCTTGAAAAGGTAACGTTTGTTGTGTGATGTTAATAAATTGAGTGTCAGAACAATTTTTGTTCATGATAACATTATCAATGAAATATTTAAAATCTTGTTTTGTTTTTTTTTTCCAATGTTAGATGAAGTTTTTTCATCATAGTCAGCTGAATTGAAACGACTCAACGTTTTTTTTATAAGAATATGTAGAGAATAATTTTTTCAAGACACCTGTCAAATATCTAATTTCCATTTCAAAAGCAGAAAGATGAAAAGAAATTTTTTAATTACTTTTCATAGAAACGGGATGAGAATGCATCGAATCGTATATTTTTGACCTGATTTTCAATTGACTTTTTTGAAAAACAACTTACTCTGTCAGGTGATTATAGTGAATGTTCAATTATCAGCTCTGCATTAGAACCTTCAATGCAATTCTCAGTCGATCTCTTGTGAAAAAAAGAAATTACATTTTGCTTTTTTTTTTTTTTTCTTATGTTAAGTGAAACCATTTCTGCGATACTTTCAAAAAAAGAATTTGATTAAAAGAATGATTTAATGAAACTTCATTTTCTCTTTTCAACAGTGCAAATCAAAGCGGTCTATCTTTTTTCTACTCAAAAGATACTCATGCACCTTTTTCTTTCAAATATGTATTAGTTCAAACTATAAAAATCTCATGTTAACTGCTTGAATGGTTAAAGAGATAATCATCTTTATATTTCTAACACTCTCTGTAATCAAAAATAAACCTTTATCGTCGAATTTAATTATTAAAAATTTATATTATATCATACTTATTATAAACAAAATAAATTCTATAAGATTAAATATATATTTTTTTAATCTAACTTACGATTGAATACGTTTATACCAAATATCTCGAATATCTTTTGTATCAAATTCAACAAGAAAATTTTCTCCTAATGGCCAACCAATAATAAGTGTTCGATGATAATCATAATAAGTTAATGATGTTATTTCAGATATGATAGATTCATTTATATTTTCTATATCTGTATATAACCATATACGATTTAAATTAATACGATGTTTTATTTTTAATAATGATTGCTTTGGATTTGATTTACTAATAATTAATTCATTTTTATTTGTTATTATAAATAAACGTCGACATGTTCTATAATCACGAAATAAAGTTACATTTGTCCATAAATCATATGAGTCAAATATTCCAATAGATGTTAAACAACGTGTTATATTAATATCATCTGTTGTTATATCAGTACTTGAATGTTTATTACCAAGAAAATAACGACTTATTGAACGAGATTTACGTGTTAATGGATGTGAATCACGAGTTTTTTTTTTAAATTGTTCATCAATATGAATATTATCGTCTATATAATTATTCATTACCAATAGAGTAATAATATTTTATTATTAAATAAATGTAAGACAAGAAACATCTAAATAAACAAAAAAAAAATGGAAAATATTTCTTTTTTGTCTATGAATAAGTACGTTTTTTTTTTCTTTTCATTTTTTTCATCGTTTAGAATGAAGAGAAAAGAAAAGCAGACATGTACAACTTAAACTAATTAGATAAAAAAGGAAAGCGAATCATGACGAAGTTTTCACTATCTCTCTATTGTATCATTATATAAACCAACCATCAAAGATAGAACCTATGATTTCATGTTAAGTAGCGAAATCTATAGATGTCGATCATAAAAGAAATACTTTTTGTATGTAGTTTCAACAAATATATGATGATTGAGTAAGATAGAGATTTTTTTTTATATATTGTATTTATGTAATTGGGCTAGACGTAGGGTACTGCAAAGTGGTCCCGGTCCCGGCGGGACCGGGACGGGACCGGGACCAAAATTTTGTTTTTTACCGGGACCGGGACGGGACTGAAATTTCCATGTGGTCCCGTAAATTTTTTTTTAACAGATACTAGGCTAAATTTTTTCTTATTTAGTTTTTTCTATTAGAGATTTTAGAATTGGTTATTTTATCTACATTGGAAAAAATCTTTTATACATTCTGATGTTGATTTCAAGAATCGCAATTTCTCGATAATTCTATCGGTATTAGAATATGCGTAAACAATACGCACGAACAACAAGACTAGAGTTGCTTCATTTTAGAAATATAACCGNGAATTTTTGACAATGTTTATATCCGCAAATAGAAAAAAAAGAAAAAAGAAACAATATCATTTTTTCATAAATTAATTCATCGTCAATTGAGACAGAAAAATACATCCTTGTTTTCTCTGACGATATCGGTCAAAAAGATGCAATGATCATATCTATATGAACATTCATAGTTAAAAGTCAAAAAAATATATAGAGATGATGATAAATATGGAAAATATATTGGTTGGATTAAATGAATTATTCTATGAAATTCTTTTGATAATTTTTACAAAATTAAAGAATGTTTCACTCCTGTACTCTTTATTAGGTGTTAATAAGCGACTAAACACAATTGTACTTGATCCAATTTTTACAAATCATTTAACATTGATAAAACATTTGCCAGATGATTCCATCTGTTCGTTATCTGATTCGACGCTTGATCGATTTTGCACAAAAATTTTACCTGAAATTCATTGTCAAATCAAATGGCTTGGTCTTGAATCATCATCTGTGAAACATATACTTCGTGTCACAAATTATCCCAATTTATATGGACTCGGTTTATTTGACATAGATTTGGGAACAGCTCAATCTCTCTTTGTTGGTAAGATATTTCAATTCTTTCATTCATTAATAAAAATAAATATATAGATGAAAATTAAACTGATTTATTTGAAATATATGCATCATACAAATAGATTTAGATCAATGCACATGCTTTAAGAAATAACTTTCGAATTTACTATTATTTCTTCATAGTAAAGAGTTAGAAAAAAAATTAATAGTGAAAAAAAGAAGAAACGAGAATAAAACGTCACATCTATGATATGGCATTAGAATCTATTAACGAAGAACGTCCTTCAATCGGTTTTATTTTAATTCGAATCGATCCCTCTTTCAAATGAGAAGGGAGAGCATTATATAAGAGAAATAAAGCGTCAAAGAATGCGGATTGTGTAAACAAATATCGATGAATCAAGGAATATCACATATGACTGTAACAGAGTCTGTCGACTTCAAGAACTTTAAACGGTACCATATCTATTGAACTATTTTTCAAATTAGATCCGGTTGATTAGACTTTTTGCACACAACCTGATCGGTACTCATATTCTGTGTAAAATCATTCTAGTTCATTTCGATATGCACTCTACAGGTACGCTACAGTTTTGCTAATCTATATTCATCATCCAGATTGCGTAACACATTTCTTAGAGTATCTTGATGGTGTTCAAAGAAGTATGTAGTCATAGTTTATTTGAATTTTTAAAGTAACATTATCGAAACTCCGGTTGGGATCCATCAAACAGAGAGCTTAGAGACTTGAACCGAGATGGGCTGTACATAGTATATGCTGTTGAATAATTGCAAAGAAGATCACACATGTACATTATAGAATTACGAAAAATATTTATATATTGCTTTAATTTCCAGAATAATTGTTGAGAAATATTTTTCTCATTGAATTTAGATGCATCTTCATTAATTCATACATATAAAAATCAAATAACATCACTTATTATTGATATAACTACAAATAAGGAGCAATTATCAATAAAAGATGTCAATATACTTGTATTTACACACATTTTTATAACATACACTAATTTACAATATTTAAATTTCGGTCCAACTTCAAGTGACAATCAATGTTTAACATTTCCGAATTCATCTCCAACTTTTATCTCCTCAAATCTCTTAGAATTGCATGTCTGTTTGGGAAATTTCATCGACTGTCTTTATATACTTGATGGACGTTTCAATCAACTACGTATGTTTCATGTTGAAATTCATGAAATTTCCATTTTCGATCGAGAACTTAATAATAAGGTGAATTATTTTCATTAATATTTTATGTATTCGAACTACTTCATATATTGTCTTTTTAGGAAAAACTACCTAATTTAAGATGTTTTGTGCTACACTCTTATACCGTTACAGATGCTTGTGATGAATTAATTATACCACTGCTACGTCGGATGTCTAATTTAGAAAGGCTTGATTTAAATCTTTCACTTTCTGTGAAAAAAGGCATTTGTTGATGGAAATTATTTGAAGAAATATATCAATCATATGTTACGATTAGACAAATTTACATTTAATATTTGCTCAGTTCTTTATCTTCATAATGAAATCAATTTACCATCAAATGCAGAGATACAAAATACATTTTGTAATTTTGAAAATAACTATATCATTTCTTGAATCGATTATTTCCAGAAAAAACAATGTAGCCAGTGTCTTATTTATTCATATCCATATAAGTCAAAATTTTATAAGTATATAACAAATAATTTTCCAGGTGGATTATTCAAATCTGTTCGTGAAATATCATTATCGAATGAACATTCTTTTGAACATGAATTTTTTCTTCGAATATCTCAACTATTTCCCCTTTTGCAAAAATTGACTTTACGCAATTCTAACCCACAAAAGAACAAATTATGCAAAGAGTCAAAAAACGGCAATGAAGATATATCAATCATTCAATATCCTCATCTTACTAATCTTTCACTTAATGTGTCTCATGATGATTATGTTGAACAATTTCTACTTGATACAAAGACTTGTTTACCGAATAATCTTCATCTTAACCTCGCTTATAAACCAATGAAACGAGTGACACACAATTTTACAAGAGATGCAACACGAATTAATTGTCAAAAACTGAAGTCTTTATGTATGGATCTTACTCGAATTTGTGAACATGTCAGAAACTATTTTCCTCATACGGAAATATTCTGATTTATATTAGTATTTGTTTAAATAAAATTGATTTGTAAAGAACGAGCATATTAAAAAAGAGAAAAAAAGTTGTTTTTTTAATATTTGATTGAAAAGAAGGGTGTGGGTGTCATTTTTCTCTTCATCCCACCCACACACCCAAAAGATTTTGTAAAAAATATATTCCAACATAAGAAAAAAATTGATTATAAATAAAAAAGATTATTTATTAATCCGTATGATACTTATACTTGTTTTTTGTTTAGTCTTCTCTTCGACTTAACATACAGCGTTGCTTTCTTTTATAATTTTACCTACATCAAACATCAAACAGAAAATATAAATACGATAAGAATGATTTCGCTCATTCACATGGGAAATAAAAGGTACCATTCTTTATGTTCTAGAAAGAGTGTGTAAAATCTACATAATGGTTTTCCAAATTGTAATATTCCAACATGTACGATGCAGAACTACCAATTAGTCATAAGTTGTCGTGCAGAACTTGGAAAAAAGCACGCTGGACGTATAAAATAATGTTTCTGTGGTAAATATGTTTTACACGAGAAATTAAATTGTTGAGTGCCGAATAACGTCAAGTAAGTTAATTTTGTTGAAGTAGTGAATAAATCCTAAAGCTCCTATGCGTCGAAATCAGATACAATGGCACAGATCGACAGCGATCCAACCAGTTTCAATGAAGAAATAACAGCTTTTGCTAAAAAATTTATGATAAAATGCCCGAAGAAGAAAAAAAGAGCTCATTTGGTCGAGTTCTCCATTATATCTTTTCATCTGGATGCATAGTCGCAAGCATTTGGACAAAATGCAAACCATCTGTTGGTTTTCGCAAAGGAAAAGAAGCACTTGGTAGTATGCTTTGCATTCTCAGTGTCGGACAAGGGAAACAACGCTTTTATGATGCATTCAAATATCAACAAAAGAATGCCATAACTATAACGAACATTGACTATGAAAATTATTTTTACTGTCCTGCTACCAAGATGAATGAAAAGATTGCTCAATGTCAAGATACACAGATTTTGAAGAAGGCATTACAAGATGCAATTTGTTCTGCTCAACAAAAACTAGCCGATGAAGTAATTCGAACCTCAATAAAAACTTCATCAGTGATTATTGTTTTACAAATAGTTAAATTATATTTCGTTTGGAAATAAATTTCATTGGCTAGAAATTTGCATAACGATCGAACGAAATTTTAAAAATTTGAAGAAAATATCATCATGCTCAAGACTATTATTGAACAACTCACACAAGCAATACAGGCTGACAATACAACTCAAGTGCAAAAGATTAGTACGGGTGCAGATCTGAAATATAATCAAACCAAATCGCTGATAAGCAATTTGGAAATGAAAATCAACGAATCAGTGCAACAATTATACGTATATGCAGATGGGTTAGTTTTGGATGGAATTTCAAATGCTGCTTCAGCAATCGGCAATGCTGTACAACTGCATGGGCTTCTTCAGCTTGTATCAAAACCTGCTGTTGCCTGTGCAAGCGCAATAATTGCCGGTTTTGCATTATTAACAGAGGCCAATGTGACCACATACTGTATCACTCAAAAGCGTCTAAATGAGTTACGACAAGACATGATATATTTGAGCCAACTTGATCAACAATTAGAATAACTGTGTGAAACTATAGAAAATGCAGAAAGTTCCTCATAAAGACATAATTCAGTCGAATAAAGACTCAAAAACGATCATTTTTTCTGTGTTTTATCAAATATATTCAAGAATAAATCACCATTCCTTTGAGAAATAAAGCACATTATAACGATAGATATGCCATAAAAGATATGCTGCGGGTGTGGGTTTTATTGTGGATGTAAGGTATGCATGTGAGCAGGTGTCAGTTTGAGTGTTGATTGTATGATTGCCAGTACCAATACCCACTCACACACTGGACTCACATGAACGATTTTTTTGAACGCTTCATAGTCTAGTCCACGATATACCCCATCAGCTTCTACACAACAAATGTTTACCTCTGATGGTGTCATCAATCGTCTATCGTATTGCCTATCATCGTCAGTCTCTAATAATGAGAAACTTGGGTGTGTCTAGAGTATGTGTGGGTATGTAGGTATGTGTATGGGTATTGGTGTGGATATGGATGTGAGTGAGCTGATGACTAGCACCTACATCCACACGCTCGAAGAAACGAGAACTAATAAAGGGAAAATAGCGAGACTTCATCTACTTCCGAAGTTTATGAAGTACGAAGAAAGTACGCACTTCCGAAGTGGGTGTAGGTGTGGGTGTGTGGGTGTGGGTGTGTGGGTGTGAGTGTGGGTGTGTGGGTGTGNTATAGCTGGTGATTTTAATGGAGATGCTGATGAACCTTGTTATTCTGAATTTTTAAATCTTGGTTTACGGAGTGCTTATAGAACAAAGATGAATGATAAGGAGCCAGAATTTACTACTTGGAAATTTAAAGGACGTGATGGAACCGAACGTGAACTATGTAAAGCGATAGATTATATTTTTTATAATCCAGAAGGATTTACACCTCAGGCTATTTTACAATTTCCAAAAAAAGCTGATATTGGACCAAATGCACTGCCATCGATTCATTATCCATCAGATCACCTCGCGCTTGAAGTTATGTTTAACATTGAACAATAAGATGCTTTCCTATTTCTTACTATTTATCGTTTCATAACATTTAATTAAACTTTTCTTCTTCTCGTGACAAAACATGTAAAGTTGTCTCTATTACTCCAGTAGCTGACTTATTTTGATTTTTTTGATGATTATAATACATAAAACAAATAAATAAATTCGAACAAAAAGACCATTGTTATGTTTTGCGTCACACTTTTTTTTCTTCTAAAGTTCAAGTTAGCTTTTAGTATGACTGCTTCAGAATTTCAGTGTATCGAAGTAGGCGTGGGTGAGGATCAGGATGGTGCTAATATTGAAGGTGATGGTAAGAGTACATCACTGTAACCGGGAAAATACTAGTATCAGTCACATAATGTACATTGTCATGCCATCATTCTGACATAAATACAGATGTAAAACAAAAGCTAAGCCAAATATTGTTATTATCTATTCTGCTTCCGTTGGTTTCTATTTGAAAAATTTTTTATATAATTGACAATTAGTTGAACTTCATAAACTAAAAACCATTTTACAATTTGTTTTTGCATTCTCAAGTTCATCTAGATATTTTAACGATACCTCGTCAGAATTCACTTGATTCGGTCATAAATGAAACGTTTTACTGCACTAAGTTTACTTTTAAAAAGTTTGATCAATTTATGATGTAATTTTGACATAGTGATGTGCCTTTAATAAAGGATGAACATGATTTTGCAGATCAAAGTATCATTCGACTTGATATCGGTAAAGTTTATGTCAAGAAAATGCTTCTAGACGATCCCAAACAATGTAGCCGCTTCGAAGACTATAATGGCAGCTGAAAACTAGAGTTTTTATATAAAGACCTTGTGTAATGTGATTGTTTAAGATCAACAGAAGTCTAAATTATTACGCTTCGGTTAATATTATTTCATCTGTACAATTTATTATTAGGTTTTTTTTATTGAATACATCCTCAATAATAATATCAGTTATATGGACAAGTTTAGTCCCCTTCCATGTTTATTATTAATTTATTCAAGAAAATTCTTTGGCAAACGATATTTTATGTTTAACAGAAAATATTAGATGGGTATGGGTGTGAGTATTGGCATTCGTTGCATATCAATCCATACTCTAATGACTGATTTTTCATGAATTCTTACATATGATGAATTTTATTACCATACAGTACCATAAATCTTTGGAGGATGTGAATATACAAGAATTGTTCATTTAAAGAAAAAGAAAAGAGGATGCTTAACACTATTGTGGTATCTAAATATATACTGTAAGATTAATAGCATTTTTCGATGTTTCTTCGTTGCATACAATATTTTCAACGCTAAATTCAATATCAGCCTGTAACAAGACTTCTTGTTCTTCTGGATATTGTGAAAGCCAGCCGACATCAATTGCTCTACTATCAGAATACATCTTTTTCAGTTGCATAACATATAGTGTGTTAGCGCCCTGAAACTCAGCATACTGACGATCTTTTGTTGTTGAGGTGAAACTTAACCATCGATACGAACCTCGACCTCAGGCTATTTTATACAAATCAATCATTGACAATGTCAAGTTGGCAGCATGATAAACACAATCAACATTAAGAGGTTGTAAACGTGTTTTTTGAAAAAACAACTTATTCTTCAGTTGCTGAATATCTTGTTGCTTTAGAGATTTTTCCCCAATCCAAATACGAAAGTTACTTTTGCGGTAACATCGATATAAAACATAAAGGAAAGGACCAAGAGTCTGTAATTTAGTTTCATCTTCTTCGCGTAAAAATGTATTTATCCATAGATATAAACACGTTTCCATGGTATAGAGATGAATACAGCATCTGCCGAGTTCTTCAAAGGAAGTTAGATGATTCATTGTTGGTAACTCCATAATAATCTTTTCTGCTTCTTCTTTCTATCCGTTCTTTTTTTCTTCTTCTAAAATATCATTAATAATAGCTTGTAAAATTGAATTATCATCTGCCGAATCATAAATTAAAACTGGATCCAATTTTTTCATTAACTCCCTTATAATCTGTGACACTTGTTTTGTTTCACCTGCAGCAAATCTGGATTACACCAACACCTCCAGTGGAGCGAAAAAGCGTTGGCGTCTTGTATGCCGATCATTTCTACTTTGATTATCCTTCATCTGAAAACTGCTAAGCGAACTGATGGAAGAGTCAACAGTAGACTGGGTACTGATATCGGAATAATTTCAACATTCATTTTCTTCGCTTGGATCAGTTATCCATGAAACAGTGATCGGTGGACTCATGACATTCAGAGAGCATAGCTTTTCTAACTCCTCTAGCTGTTCCTGCTTTTTTTGTCTTTCGACCACCATCAAACTAGGTACGCTTCTCAAGATTAACTGCGAGGGTGGGTGGGTGTGGGTTAATCTCATCTTCATCCACACCCCACATCCACATATATTCATACATTGATAGTGGTTTTTTCGTTCAGTCCATAACTGATATATTCATATAACTGACATAAAGGAAAAGAAGACATTATTGACAGCATAAAAATAGACGCTCGAAGATATGTAGAACGAAATAAAAAATTTCAAAAATCAACTATCATAGAGGCTCTTCTAATCTGTCTTTTGCCCCGTTGTCTTCAGAGGATCTTCTCATGTGTCGAGGGATTTAATGTATAGTTTGTATGTTGGAGTACATAATACGTTTCTATTTCATGAAAATGTAGACATTTTATTAATGAGTTAGTATGTTTAACAAAACTAGAAGCAAGATATATATTATATCAAAACGTAGAATGTTAGTTAGATCACTAGAATGAATGAATGAAAAATACTGATTATAAAATTAGTCTTCAGTTATAGTTTGTGTTATTTAAAATAATTGTCTTTTGATTGGAGGCGCTGATTATGTTTTCATGCCACATTTACGTAAACAATTTTCAACGTTTTGCGATGGGAGATCGGGCAGAGCTTTCACTTGTGCTTTAACATCCTTTTCGGAAAGACCTCCCAATGCTGCCCCAACAATTTTGGTTGGAAACTGTTCTATAAAAGCCGTGGCAGACAACAAGCCGGGATCTTCGGTGCTGTATGCTCCTAGCACCACAGATGGGGTACAGCACGTGTTTAGTTCAAAATGAACTGCTCCTTGTGGAATCACAATCGCTTGTCCTTCGTGCACATTGCTCGTTACGTAGTCGATACCATTTTCTAGATAGAATCCCGTTAGAAATTCACCTTTGATAACATATGCAATTATCGTTGCTCGTGGATGCATATGGGGATCAATTAAACCGCATGGAGCAATAGTTGCCACACCCAATGCAACACCAGCGTTGACGAGTGCAGGAAAATTGCCGGCCTGAAAAAAAGAGGGCCTAGTCTATAGCATGTTACTACTCATGTAAAAACGACATGATATATAACAACATTTTTACTAAAATTAACGCGGTAAGCATCGTTTGTTACGATATTAGTGTAACAGCAGTTCAGGACAAGAGCGAGATCGAATGACAATAGAATGAAGAAAAAGATGATCCTTCACGGTACTCGAACAAAGCACTTTCTGCTTACTGGGCAGATAGACTACTGTTATATTAGAAAGGACATCTTCTATTCCATCTCATGGCCCACTTCGTTCATATGGGGTATAGCAGGTGTTTAATGGGAAATCGTAGATTCTCTTTTTTGCCTATCAGATCAGACATAGATTTTAAAAAAACAGCAACTCAGTATACAAAGGAGCAAACTACTAAACAGTTTCAATCAATATCACTTTTGATCCTATTTTGCAGCAAAGTACAAGTTTTGGTGGTATTTTGGCATCATTTCAGTTGCTCTAGACGAAAATCTCCACCAAAAACGCTTCAAATTATGCAAAAATAACAGCAAAAACTTATGCTCTTTTGTTGCAAAATCTTGTTAAAACTAGTATAGACTGAAAATATCAGAAGTTTCTCTCATTCGTACATCAAGTTGGTGCATTTTCGACATCTCTGTCTGATCGAGTAGTTTCGAAGTTTCGAACACATGAACATACGTTTTCGCAATATTAACGTAAGAAACATCATAAAAATTTTAAAAATTTAACGAAAAAAAGATTTTATCTTTGCCACTGCATAAACATGTTAACTATAAGTATTTGACTGAAGTTAAACGCGTTTACACAGTCAAAAAAGTAATCCGTTTTCCATTAAAATGTGCAATTGGAATGTCATTTTTTCATTTAATTTGTATATTTGTTATACATGAGAAGTGAAATACTTACACTTGCGGTTACTATTCGTCCACCTTTGGCTTGTACTACACCAAATTTTGCATTACAAAAATCGAACACATAATTGAAACCAGGGTCGTTCGCCAATTGTGTTTCACGATCGAATTCCGTCGGGGATGACTTCAACGCTCGCAAAAATTCTTTGCTTACCTTTCTGTCACCTGCACATGAGGCTTCATTGAAGAAAGCGAGTATCAATATTCCGATGAAAACTATCATTTCTAAAATCTGAAATAGACATGAAAACATTTTCAGTCATTTATGCTTGAATCTTCAAAATTAACCATTTGACTGAACACATTAGTCAATTCTGAACTCGTCTTGCGTTTTATATAGTAAACTTTAAAAATATCTGCCGCAATGACGATCTTATTATTTTCTCGATTTTGCGATTATCATTCACACTAATTTTCCTTATTATGACACACTCAGGGAGTAGAAAGTTCTATCTACAGTAAAGTGGGTTTCGAAAAGCCAAAATCCGGTTTTGGCGATATTGAACCTTATTTTAAATGTATTAAACTTTCATTAGAAAATGGAGAATTTGTTAACAATTATTTTTGTACATATGTAACACATGTTTTGATTTAGAAAGTTTTGTTGTATTGATTGTTGGATAAAATCTGAATCAGTCGAACTCGTGCCATAACACAAGAAATGCTTTTTTGTAGCTGAAGACAACATCTCTTCGACATATGTTGTAATATTCATGTTCAGTACATACTTTACCTATTCGCATGACAATACGTGAAGATAAAGCTGTCTTCAACAACTATAATCTTGTTGTGACATGACAATACTTGTTAATAAACAAATAATTATATCGCATCTGGTATACCTTTTTTAACCTATTCTGATGATTATGCAGATGCTCCACAACCGTCACTTTTACTTAAAATACAATATTTTTCAGAAAAAGCATCAAAATATACAAAGTTATCTTTAATATGTCATGTAATGGTTTCTATGTTGATATATCCGAATAATGAAGATCGACTCGACTACGTATATAGTAAAGAAGCAAAAAACTCAGAATCACTGAAGCATTTATACATATTTTTCAGAGTTTTCTATACTAAGAAAAAATCTTATCAAAATACGACAAACATACATCTACGACAACAGTATAAATATATTCCGACATTTTCTACAAACGTTTTTAAATCTTTGCTCACATTATGAGAGTGCCACTTTTATAAATTAATCACGAATCTAGGCCACTTGCCCGCAGAACATATGCTCGCCGGACAGATCCCCGCAAGACACTTGCCCGTATGATGCTTGCCCGCATCCTCACCCTCAACATTGTCCATTGCGGGCACGTATCACACGGGCAAGTGTCTTGCGGGTANGCAAAATCCGCTAACCATTGAATTCCTGAGCAAGGAAAATATCATCTTTACTACTATGGACTTGGTGCGTTCTTATTCATGATATAACTATTCTTGAACATGATGATTATCTTCGATTAGCAAAGGTCATTTAATTGGGTTGTTTAGTAAAGTCTTTTTCAAATATAAATACTAGAGGCAACATCATCGATTTATGTGACATGTCTTTATGTGCAAAACAGAGAAGGGAACGTTACTGATTAAAGCGCATTTGTTGAGGATTCTTCGAATCTCCAATAAATGAATATGACTAATTGTTCAAATGATTTTTGAAAAATAATATTAGATATGCAATTTGTTTGGATTGACCTAAAAAGAGGACATAATAATGCTGATCGCGTAATAAGGGGTGGATGTGGGGTTTATGTGTGTGTGGATGGATGTGGGTGCCACCTTGACAACCTATTTTACACCCACACCCACACCCACCAACACAGCCATTCGCAAAGTTAGTTTTTACTTGCTCTTATCATTCTTCTGTTAAATGACTTCTAAAAGTAATCTATGAAACATTACACACATATCTTTTCTATGCATGATAACGCGTAAAACTGCTTTCATTATACCAACAATAACACTTAACAGTAGCATGTACTTACCTTGCCTGCACGACAAACAATTTTTTGAATAAAGTTCTGCCACTAACCAAATAATCACCAGTTTCATTGAGCCGATGCGTAAATATTCCATGTTTTTGTGATACTATTTATAGGCAACTCTGTACTATTTTCGATCACTCGACCAGGCCGTGGTATTGGCGTCTATGACTATGGCTACATCTTGACTTGTATATCACCATCGTTTATCATTGCAATGATACGCGTTTCTGGTGAATAAGAGATACATGATTTCTTTATTCTTCATCCATAGTACATAGTACAAAAAAAGATTTTTTTATTAAAATAATACTTACTATTAATTTTCTATTGAGACTGATCTAAAAAAAGAAAGCTCCTTTTTGTTTATAAACAAATAATCACTATTGACTTTAGGACGTCAATGTTGTTCTAGACGATATAAGGAAGACATCTGCAGAAGCTCATGTCCACAAGATTGGATGAAATTACGAAAGTGAAAAAAAAATATCATTAATGATCAGATTAATAATTAGTTTAGTTTTTATTTATACCAATGAGTGTTGTTATCTTTCTAATAATGTTTCTTTTTTGTTGCTTTCAACTAGGATTTAGTATAAAGTATGAATATAATCAAAAGTTTTGATTTTAAAAAACATTTTCAATTATAATTTACACAAAAGTGTTCTTATCAATCTGTTACATCTTCACTTACATATCATCGGTCTTTTGGTTCGCTTACAGAACAGTGATCATAATTACTTGGTACGTGCCTACTTAAGATGCGTCTTATTCAATCTAGAAATATACAACAAACATCATTCTAAGCGTATTAGGTTATTTTCTTCTGCAGTATAAGTCGGTTATCAAAAGTGACTTCCGTGGATATTTATTTATTAATTTTCTTTTCATTTTTTATATATCCGTAATAAATCTCACAGGTCGATTATTTTTAGATATAAAAACAAACAATCGTTAGAAGAGATAAAGACATAATTTGGCATTATTCGACATAAACTTCGTTCTGACAGATAGAATATGGTAACTAAACTTCAAGAATCCTCTGATGCTGTAGATCAATATATTAGAGAACATTCACTACGTTTAACATCTGAACAAAATGAATTAATTGAATACACACAATCACTATCAAGTTATTATTTGTGTCATTGAATCATTTTCCAATATTATGGATTTTATTTTCTAGGGGATTTATCAGAGATGCTTGCTTCGATTGATGAAGCTCAATTTTTTCAAGTCATTATTCAACTTATGGGATGTAAACGATGCAGTAAAATTATATCGCTGTCTTTTTTTATGCTATAAAAGCTAAGATTTTTGCTTTGTTCTTGTTTTAGTTGAAATTGGAACATTAACTGGCTATACAACATTAACAATTGCATTAACTCTTCCATCAGATGGTCATATAATAACATGCGATATTAATGATAAATATATCCGGCAAGATTTATGGAAAAAAGCTGGTGTGAGTGATAAAATAACATTGAAAATTGGACCTGCTATTGAAACATTAAAAAAATTACTTGAAGAGAATGGTTCTGGATCATTTGATTTTATTTTTATTGACGCTGATAAAACAAATTATTTACATTATTATCAATTGGCTATTGAATTAGTTCGTTCAAATGGTTTGATTGCCATTGATAATACACTTTGGTGTGGAAAAGTTATTGATCAATCTGATACAACTAAAGAAACAATAGCTATTCGCCAAATAAATGATTTTATTTGGAATGATCAACGTGTTGATATTAGTCTTTTACGTCTTGGCGATGGAACAACATTATGTAGAAAAAAATAGACAAAGCAAAACATTATATTTATGGTTAAAAATTAAAAAAATTAACTCACTTTCCTCCAATTCCTAAACGCGATCTATCTCCTTAATAATCATTATAAAATAAAATTTCGATCATGTCTTTCTTTGTGTTGAATATGAAACAATTTATGAATATTATTGCCTACATTTTTTATTCATATTTAATAAATTTTTAGTCGATTCTTCGCTTCTTAAGTAGTAAACACAATTTGAGATAAACTATTGAAACAAAAATCGAACTATGTCTTGTTAAAAAATCAGTAACTGTTAATTGGAATTATTTCTTTCTATGATAAATGCGCTAAAAGTATTACTTGATCTTTTCTCATGTACACGTTGTTGAAACAGCCTATGTGAGCCAGAGCTGCCAACTTGATCAGATACAAGGTAAGCTAAGCCGAAGTTTTCGAACTGGGTGTGGTGTGGATGTGTGTGGGTGTGGACAGGTATTAGAAGATCCCTTTTTCCTTCTTCATGTTCGATTTCTATTCACTAATCATTGACTCAAGCGAGAGAGAACAGAGAACCTTATATAAGAGAAAATAAAGCATCAAGGAATAGAATATGTGACTGTAACATACATCCCCACCGACAGAAATGTGGGCCCACACACATTAGAAGATACAAGAATAACAAATGAAAAAGAGAGAAAAGCAATTGTAAGAATGCAGATACGAAAAGAAGGATAATAAAATAGATCAAAGAAACGATAATATAATGGCATTATGATAAAGAACAAAAGGAAAAAACGAACGACTAAGATGTCCAAAAGAAATAAAATTGTAAGTAAATTAGAACTTCAGAGGTGGTAAGGGTGTGGGTGTGGGTATGTGGTTGTAGGTAACCAATTGATCGACACACACACTCCATCTTGTTGAGAACTGATTTTCGTACAGAATAAAGTAGTCAAACTGTGAGTTATACAATATCAATGGGTAGCCTTTTTTGTTTAAATATTCAAAAACACTGAAGGTTGGACTCTTGGATAATACCATCATTTCCAGCTTTACAGAGTAGACTCAATTCATGAAAAGCATTGTATTTTGTTAAGTTTTCTAGCTCTTCCGAATGAAATATTGTTTAAAACAGTTGATTACAAAATGCCACGAAACAAAGTGAGAAAAAACTTATCACTATTTTCATTTTTCTATAAACAGTTACAAAGGTTATGCGATATGAACTATGGAATGGATATATGGAAGATTAATTGTTTAAAGTTTTTCTGCCATCGTCTATTTCTCTAACACAATCTCAGTGGATTCGCGCATCCTCTCTTCAAACGACAAACATCCCTAAGAGGTTCTCATGCATGTCTATCCACCATAGGTAGAATGACCATTCTACGGCTTCATAAAAAAAATTGCTCTAGAAATATTTACTGACTTATTTTCCGATTAGTATGACATGATTAATTAAAAACAAACACACTTTATAGTTAAACACTGACATTGTTCAAAAAGAAAGAAAGAAAGTAGTCAAAAGTACACGAAATGACATCTTCATGAACACATATTCATCAGAATTTCTACATTGCCTGTGTTATAACAAGTTAGGACAATATCCATCCATCAGTCTTGATTCACATCTATTACAGCAATCGAGTAAGGACGATAGTCATACCCCAATGGATATGATATTTCATTTCCAAATATTTCATTGCCAAATCCATAAAACAAGAGTACATTGTTAGTACCAGAATTCACAATAGCCAGATCCGATCTATTGTCATTATTGAAATCACTGATGACAATTGTGTATGGACGAAAACGATCTCCAGTTGAATACATCTCTCCTATAGTAAAAGTTCCATTACTAAAGCCACGAAGGATAACGATGTTATTAGTTTTAGAATTTGCAACAACAATATCCAATCGATTGTCACTACTGACATGGTCGACAGCAACAGAAAAGGGCGCAGAACCATCACCAGTTGAATAATTCATCATAGGTTTGAAAATACCCACATTGTTAGTTCCATAGTTAGCTACGACAATATCAGATCGGCCATCATTGTTGAAGTCACCAACAGCGACCGAATGTGGCCGAGATCCATCGCCAGTGGCATATGCTGTTATTCCGGTAAAAGGTTCACTACCAGATCCAAGAAATACACCGATGTTGTTCGACAGTGAGTTAGCGACGGCAATATCTAATCTGTTGTCTTTATTAAAATCCCCAGCGCTAATAAATGACGGTCCCGAACCAACTCCAGATGAATATGTTCTGACAGCAGCAAATGTTCCAGTACCATGTCCGAGAAGAATACCCACATTATCGACATTGTAATTAGCGACAGCAAGATCAAGTCTTTTATCGTTGTTGACATCACCAACAGCCACCGACCACGGTTGACATCTAGTACCTGTCGAATAGGCCACTTGGTTTGCAAAACTTCCGTTGCTGTATCCCAGCAGAATAGCAACATTGCTGCTATCATGATTAACCACAACAATATCCAATCCATCGTCACTGTTAAAATCGCCTACGGTTACTGCAACTGGGAGTGAACTGTCTCCAGTTGGATAGGTTATCATAGCAGTAAATATTCCGTTACCATATTCAAGTAGAATACCGACATTATCGGTGAAAGAAGTAGTCAATACTATATCCAACCGGCAGTCACCGTTGAAATCACCAACAGCGATTCCCGAAGGAACAGAACCATCTCCAGTTGAAATAGTTACCATAGTAGCAAAACTTTCATTACCATATCCTAGAAAAATGCCTACATTGCCAGTGCCTGAATTAGTTACCGCTATATCAAAGAGACAATCATTGTTGAAATCGCCAACACCAATCGCGTTAGGACGGGAACCATTTGGGTGTGGGTGTGAGTACGGGTAGAAAGAAACGTTACACCCCCACCCCCACCCACACCCTTCATTGAACTCTTGGGAAAAAAAGAGAATTGAATGATTTACCTGATGAAATTCTTTTGATTATTTTCAAAAACTTATCCAATATTTATCCACATTACTCTTTCATAGATATTAATAAACGACTCGATAAAATTGTACATGATTCTATGTTTACTAGTAGTTTAACATTATTCGGTTACTCATCGTATAATTATATTTATTCATTACCTGATTTAATGCTTGATCGATTTTGTTTACAAATCTTACCTGAAATTCATTATAACATCAAATGGCTTGAACTTAAATCCTCGTCTATGAAACGTAGTCTTCTTTCCGCAAATGATCCGAATTTATTTGAACTTGGTATATATAACATTGAAAAAACAGAATGCTTTAAATCTATTTACTGGTAAGATACTTTTAATTCAATTCTTTTAATAATTAATGCGTCAAAATAGATGATAAATGAAATGATTTATTTTATATAAACTCTTTATACAGTCAGTTAGATAATTACATATTTGATTTATCTTTTGTTTGTAAAACGAAAAGAAAGATTAGTTGTTTTTACAATAAATTTGTATTTATATTTAGATGAAACTTCTTTGATGCATAAATACAAAACTCAAATCTCATCGTTCGTGATTAATACTATTAACAAACAACGGAGACCAGTAGATATGGATACACTTATATTCATACATATCTTTAATATATTCACCAATTTACAATACTTGAATTTTGATTCATTTTTTCTTTGTCGTCAACGAATTTCATTCAAGGATTTACCTCCAAGTGTATTCTCGTCAACTTTATTAGAATTGCATGTCAAAGTAGACATTGTTAATGATTGTCTTTATTTACTTGATGGTCGTTTCAATCAACTCCGGACGCTATATGTTGATATAGCATTTTCATTTCCTCGGTCGCTCTTAAAAATAAATAAAGTATGTTTTTATTAAACGTCACCAATATCTATTTTACTTTTTTTTTAAAGAAAAACTATAAAATTTACGATGTTTTTCGTTGTATTGTTTTTCGAAAATACGTTTCTATGATAAATTAATCATACCACTTTTACATCGAATGTCAAATTTAGAACAACTTAGTTTGTATATGTTACAGCAAAATATTATTAATCATATGCCACGATTAAATCAATTTCGGTTTAATATTCTTTCAACTATATTGCTAGATGATTAAATTGATTTACTATCAAATGATTTCTTGTGTCAATTATATTCCAGAAGCAAGAAAAAGGTCAATACCATATCTATTCATATCCATTTACAATAAGAAGTTATGAAAATATTGCAAATAATTATCCAGATGGAATATTTACATGTGTTTGTGATGTATCATTATTTGATGAACATCCTTTTGAACATGAACTTTTTATTCGAATTTCTTAATGATTTTCATGTATGAAAAACTTAACAATAACTGATCGAAAACCACAAAACAATAAACAATACAGAAAATTAAAAAATAACAATCAATATTCACTAGTTATTGAATATCTCCATCTTAAATGCTTTGATTTTCATGAGACTCATGATGATTATGTCGAACAATTTCTACTCGATACCCAAACCTGTTTACCATGTGGTATTAATCTTTATGCCGATTATAAACCTTTAAAAAGAGTAACATATAATTTTACACGAAAAGCAACACGAATTAATTGTGTTAACGTGAGATATATATATGTGTTTTGATAGAGTTTTTCGATCTTCAAAACATTTCAAAGATTATTTTCTTTAGGCAAAGGCATATTTATTATGATTATTTTCAATTGTTACTTAAGAAGAAAATTGTTGGTTATTTGATTCAAACATGTAAAATATCTGTTCACATAGTAGTACTCACCAGAGGATGAAAGAAATCGAAAAAGAGCGATCGCAAATGAACGAATTGATGAAAAAGAAAAACTAAGAGACAGAAAAGTGATTAGTATTGATTTTAAGTCACCTTCTGAAAAAATGAAATGAGCTGGTTCAATCGAAGATTAATGACAAATATTCTCTGCATGCGTCATTGTACTCTCAGTTGAACACGCCATTCATATTGAAATGATAGTGTCGGAAAAGGACAGAGTAGCATACGACAATAGAAATTGAAATTGCTACAGGCACGAAGAAGATCAATATCGTCATGAGAACTCGACTATTTCAATTAAGAATTCATTTGTCAGAGATTGTAATTTCATCTTTTCTTTTCTTCACAGCAGAACAAAACGATAATGGTTTGTGTTTTTCTATCGCAAACAAAAGATGTACGTCTAGATTTATTTTTACGTTCCTTTGCACATATCTCAATTAACAATAGCAATATTCTTTGTCCCCTCTTTCTTTTCTATCACGATAATAGTGTGCAACTGAAAAAGGCAAGACTTTTTTCATTCGTATTTTGTTTTTGTTCTTGCTATTTAAGTGAGAAAAAAAGTTTATACCACTGTTTATGCGGCAGTTTGAATCATGCGTTGGAAGAATGAAAAATAAACTTGAATGATTCAAAATCATTTCAAGAAAAATGCTTTGTGCAATGGTCCCGAGTACATAGCAACATGATGAAAGAGCTTCATGAAGGTTTTGTTGATCTAACAGAAAAGAATGTAATCATATTTTATTTGATAATTCTAGAAATTCTAATGAATATCGTATCTTTCGTTAGAGAAATCAAGAAAAAAAGCAATTGTTCACGCTGTTTTGTTCATCTTAAAAATTATCTAATCGATAAATCAGCACTGTTTTGGTTAATACCGATTATACAAATATTCTATTGCAACAACAATTATTCAGATACTCGAAGGTACAGTAGTTACTAGAACATCCGACTTAAACGATATTGAGTATACTGTTTGATGACCTCTCGTCGGTATTTTTTGTAACATTTAGTTGCTCCAAAAAGAATGGACATCATTATAGAGCTGGTATCGAATGGTTATGGAAATTGAATAAAGATTCATGGTCCTCTGCTGAACTAGAGAAATGGAGTATCTTTTCCGATGTCGTAATAGCAATCATCGAAGATGTATTTCAAAAGAACCTGCCTGACGTTCTGCTTGATAATTATCATATCGATTTCAAACGCTCTGTTCAATTATCAACCACTAATGCAAACCATCAACGATCCATTAAACGTACTAAAGATCAAAGATGGAACCAGGGAAGAAATATGGCAATGCTGTGCTCATCTTTACACAATGGAATCATTTTTGTACCAGAAAATGAATGAATACATGAGATTGGTGAGTGACAAACAGCATCTAAAAGTGTGGAAAAGTAAAATCTTAACGTTCGATCCTTTTGCTTTTCTTCTTTCTACACTAGAATGTGCAAAAAATTACAACAAGATGACTATCTATCGTGACGCTAATTTATCTGACGACTTAATAGACAAGTATAGAAAAAATTTGGAAGCGTATCTCACGTTTCCAGCATTCACATTAACAAGTCGAAATCCAACCAAGGCTGAACAATTCGGTAATGTTTTCTTTGTTATGAGTATCAGTGCTTTAAAAAGAAACGACGTTGTGCCATATTCCGACTATCCTGACGAAGATGAAACGTTGTTCATATTCGACTTTGTCTTTCATATACGATCACTGCGAGTTTTATGCTAACAAAAATAAATGGATCATTGAACTTTACGAGTGAATTATCATTTGTACGCATAGTTATTTCTATTCTTAACATCAACTAAATCTACACAAAATCATTCTCTCTTCATTTTTCAAATACAACAATTTCCAAATGAAGTCCTACAAAAATAAATCTATAGTCAGTCCAATAAGTATTGGGACACATGAGATCATCCTTACCCATTCTCATAATTAATTTTGGTTCAGGCGCATGCCAATTTCATGAAATTCTCATCCATATACTATGACGTTTGAGGAATTTTTACTTTTTAAGCGTAAAAAAGGGATGAAACTCTAATAACTTAAGAAATCCCCATTTTTTGGGCTTTTTTAAGTTATTTAACTGCCATCTCTGTTCTTTACTCACAAAGTAAGGATTTAAAAAAAGGCTCTGTCACACCCTACTTTCTAATATTGCTCTTCAAACAAAAAAAAATTAAATATATAGAATTTTAGATTGTCAAATGAGCTATTTTTGACGCTTGTTTGCTAAATACCTCCATCAAACGTCATGATATAGCACTGAGAATTTTGCCATAGCTTCTCCACTACAGCTCCAAGATATTCAGAAAATTTCATGAGATTTGCATGTACCTGGACCAAAAAATTGATTACGAGGAAGGGGGGGGGGGGAGGGCGGCCTCAAGTGTCCCAATGCTTTTTGGATTGACTGCAAATAACAGAACTATTTTTATGATTTGTATTCGATTTTCAGGATGAATATATCCAAGACTATGACTGTACGCATATAATTGTTCAAGAGACCTTCGTTATTCCAATGTAAACTTGATAACGGAAAATAATTGAAACTGTTAAATGGTGGCCATAGGTCATATGCAATTTTATCATGCTAGCATGCGCTTGTCTAGCTCTACTCTTTCGCCCAATATGCGATATGTATTTTTCTATTCTCAATCGTTTCAGCTAACTGAATCATATGCGTTTTTCTTTCAAATATGATTATTAATGGCAAATAACACATTGAATTGTGGAAAATTATAGAGAGTTTTGAACCAACATTACCGAAGTTTCTCCTACATGTTCAACCATAGAAAGATTATTTCACTTATTATTGACGTCTGGTATGCTGATAAAGCTATACTCACAATGCAGTAAAACTGTAAAACCGAAAACTTGAACAAATTTAAACCATCAACTAATATCATAATAATAAAATTTTGATAAGACCTGCTTTTCTCTCAAATGTGACGGTAATACTAATGTCCCTTTGACGGATATTATTTGAATAATTTTTGATAGAAACAAGACATTTAGCTGAGGTTTCCATCTTTCGAAAGAGGATATGAAGATGCGTCAAACCGCATATTACATTTATTCCTAACATGTTGTCTGAAGTTTGTTTAATCAATTTTCTAGCTGTTGAAAAATGGTTTCTAATCAAAAAGAAAATAGTAAAAAACAACTTGTTTTTTTTACAGAGATTGCCAGAAAAATCGCTTATAGCTTCGACTAGTATACTCCAAACTCCCGAATGAACAATTCTAAACATCTGAATCTTGTGCAGGTTTTCAGACCCCCCATTCGCGGTTTGAATACACACGTAACAATTAAGAATTCAGTGTAAACGCCTCATGGGGTAGATTTGCTTTCAAAGAAGTCTATTGAATAACTTAAATAAGTCATGTCAAAAAATCTGTAATAACCGATTTGCTGCATCTTCATCTCTTCTTTCTAACGATGAAAGTCACAACTCTCTAGTTATTTCCGTTCTTGAGTTATTCCAGAAATGCCTAGAGTCATTAGTGTTTTAAACAGGCTCAAGTTATGCACAAAAAAACAGTTCTTATCGAAATTTTGTTATTATGATATTAGTTGAAGTATGATCAAATAGCATAGAAAAACAGAGCATCGTTTTCGCTATCACTACATTGAAAAAGAAAATTTCTTCAAGTTTCCTATACAAAAAATAAGATAATGGCGTCACTACTATTGATATGCCGTAAGTATTTTCTAATAAAATTCATTCAGATGGATGCCTTGCACTAGGCGATTCTTTAAAACTGAACAGAACTTTATCAAGATTAAATCTGTTCAAAAATAGACTAAAATCAAGTGGTGTGAAAACAATAGGAGAAGCGTCATCGATAAATGAGACCCTAATAAATCTTTGTTTGAATTATAATGATATAGATTGTCTCAGCACTCAATATATCGCTGATGGATTAAAAAACAATGAGACATTCTTGATATTATCTTTGACATCAAACAAAATTTCTAGAGTTGGTGCTATGACTCTAAGTGATAGTTTACCTATTAACAAAACTTTAGCTAATTCTGATATATCGTCAAATTCTGGATTTCCATCGTCTCCTGGCCTAGCTTTTACCAATGCAGTTCATATGACCATGTTAAATTTAAGTAGCAGTGCTCAATAAATTAAGTTCCGATGGTTGTAAGTTTATTGAACATCTATTGAAAAATAATGAAATATTGAGTAGATTAAACTTAAGTTATAACGAACTGACTGATGTTAGTCTTAAGTATGTTTGCGAAGATTTTTTTCACGAATAAAGCATTGAAAATTATGGATCTATCCAGATGTAAATTCATCGACGATGGATGCATTTTATCAGCGAGATATTGAAGAACAATAAATTGTTAACGGAATTACGGCTATTTGGTAATGAAATCTCTGAAATTGGTGTTGCTGTACTTTAAGAATCGTTGAAATTGAACGGAACATTATGAAGGCTTCTAACTAATAACCTTGAAATAAAAGAAGCAGATCATTATTCACAGTTAGACAAAAACCAACGAGAAATATTTGAGACAAAAAGGGCTATAGCTGATATTGTACATTTCATAGAGGAAAGTNAAAGATCTATAGGTCGTCCACACCTCACTCACACCCATCCACACCCACACCCTTCTCTACAAAATGATGCGCATATGTACAGGATTAGTAATTTTCTTGAAGACGTTTTAGGTCTATCTTTTTAAGTGCATTTGTAGTGCAGACGAAGAAACTTTTTTTTCGTTCTGTTATATGTTCAGTATGGACGACCTATAGATCTTTTTTCTTTCCTGTATCACGAAGTGGAATTAGAAAGATGGACCTAAAACATCTTCAAGGAAAATACTAATCCTGTACACATGCACATCATTCGGTAGAAAACTTAATTCTCTACAAGCCTGTATCTTGGAAAAACATTTTCGACCCAATTTTTACCTTGAAAAATTGAGATTAATGGAAGACCCATAGAAAAATCGAATTGTAATTAACAATTAATACCCTTTTGGTTAATTCTTTTTGAAAACCAAAGACATAATCTTACTCAGTTTGTTTTGCCCTATCGAATGATGTATTTTAAGTTGAGTTTTCGTTGCGTCAAGACCGAAAAACCTAGCTTTTCTGTAGAAGCCATAGAGCTTTGGGGATTTCGACTTTTTCCAGGTTCTATCAATATTATTTTTGCTTTTAAAGTATACCTTCTTGTAGAAAAATGTTTTTTCTATTGAATGAGATATAATTCAAAGTATTTGGATGTAGAATAAAGGCAATATAAAAGGAAAAGGAAAAGTGGTCAAATGACTGTTTTTGCAGAGGAAATCACGTGATTTATGAAAAATCTCTGAGAATTTTCGGAAACCTTTTTAAAAGAATTTTTTTTCTTATAGAGTAAAGTGGAGACTTCAGTCTATCGAATGTTATAATCAAAGTTAATAAAATATTCTTTCTTTATTGTGAAAATTTCATCGCAAGAAGTATATGACTGAGTGTTCAAATAATTATTTTACGTACTGTATATGGGCAATATCAGACAAAACCCGACATATCCTCTTTTATCTTACTTTGGTTTTTTTGTAAGAGTCATTTTTCCGAATAAGCTCTTTTAGCATAGACATATGTAAAAATATCGGCTCTTTCAAATATCCCTTAAATAAAGTTAATTAATCAATTGATGAATGAAATAGTAATCAGTGAATATGTCTCTAACCATATGAGATGGTGTGGGTATGGATGCGAGTTTGACTCCCCACATCAATCATATTCACACTCCACTCTTGTATGTTACTTTTCATGATCTATCCAAATATGCTATTAGATTCACAAAGTGTGGTACCAGGTCAAAAACTGCGAAATACAATCAAAAATATCCAGTTTAGCATAGTTGTCTTTACTTTTACGGCTTTTTATTACTTTTACAGAGACTTTTTTCTGCTCATCTGTATTGTAAACAAACGTCATAGTCCACTTAGACATTTTGTACAAAACAGTACCTTTCGTCATCTACTTGACATGATATTGTAGATTCTATGTAAGTGAGAACACAAGTGAACTCATTTTCTATACGCATGACAAAACAACGGAGAAATGCATCAAGAGATAAACGGCAGACTTAAGTCCAGAAAAGTTCGACTGTAGTTAGGACGAGGGTATCAGTTTAGGTATGTGTGGGTATGAATGGGTATTGGCGCTGATCTTCTCTTTACTGCACCCACGTCTACATTCATACTTACGTTAGGTACATTCAAACCCCACAGTCACACACAAATCGCACCGAACTTACAGCGACACTTGCAGACACACAAAAACTCAGTTACACCTACATCCATACACTCTGTATTAAAGTAGAAGATAACAGATTTGAACAAGCTTCGTAAATTTTTTGTTTATGAATAAAACATTAAAACTGTTTTTTGGCATCAGAAAAAGTTTATCTCATTAGTTTAGAACATGTTAAAGATCTTCACAATTTTTATTATGAAATTATTTATAGAACATCCTGTCTAGTTTAAATGTATATAAGTCTTTTTCTTTCTTAAAATCCGAAATGCAGTGGTCATTTGGGCGGCGATTATCGTGGTATATAGTCAAGAAGCAATGGTGCTACAAACAATAATGATATATAAATAACAGAATTTATTGTGTTTTCTATTCTTACCATTTTCTTCCAGCTCCAGAGCCGCATTGTATATAGCGTTGATACTTTCTGAACCAGTGACATTGACATTACGCAACACAACAAATTCTTTTGGTTGAGATTTTTTCCATTTGAGTTTATGATCAAATACTAATTTGTCCAATTTGGCACCCAAATTAGTCGCAACTTTAACAATATTAGATCGCCTGCCTAGTGAAGAAATCAATGCTTTGCCATCGATTGGTATGAGAGCGTTCAATGTTGTTTGATCAACAATGTTAGGCATCAAACCATTGATATCGATAATGTTTTCGACAAATGTTTGACACGTATTGTTTGCACCAACATCAAATCTGTAAAACTTTTTGTCGACACTCGATGCTACCGAAATTAATCGATTGAGTGTTAATGGTTTATTTGGTGTTAGTGGAATATCATATACATCGATCAATTCGTCAGGTATAGTCGGATATTTGAGAGAAATACGTAGTCTTTTCTCAAGTTTAAGAATAGTACTAGCAGTTGTATTTTGGCTGGCAGTTCCAAGCACATCTTGTAGTACGTAGGGTCCATAACTATTCTCAATAGTGATAAGTAAATAATTATGATAGATTTCATCATAACCAAGTTCATGTTGTTTATCAGTAAATTTCGAATGGCTTAAAAGGTTAAGTATTCTAACATTATGGTCTTGAACAGGTGTGCGACCGAGTTGAATCTTAAGAATGAGTTCATCACCCACTTTCCCCAATATATTTCTTACTTGTAATGGCATTTGTGGATCGTCTTTTGCGGCAGTCAATTGCAATTGATGATTCGTGGACTATGAATAAAAATTGATCAATTAGTTAAGATATTTGTGAGAATATAAAAATATTAATTGTTCTTTCAACATAACTTTCTATCTTCATGAAATTCACGACAAAGTCGATTCAAAATAAGACTAAATTATTCATAAGATAGACAATTTTTATTCTTACCTTTTCAAAGAATAAGTTGGCATCTATCATTGTTGTGCCGAGTAAAATCTATAATTGAATAACAATAATATTGTATTGCATGAATAATGCTAAGATAAATCTAAACGAGAAGTAATGTATCAGGTAAATGGTATTTGAAAAGATGATTGAATGAAATGAAGAAGATATTCTTTCAAATAATTCAGTTTTCAATATTAAGAGACAGTCTTGCTCTATGGTGACCTCTAATCCTTTATTGGGCACCTTGCTGATAAATTTGTCCAATCAATTAATTTTAAAATATTGTTGAAGAAGAGAATAGTTCAAAAATCGGCCTTGATATTTCTAACTTACATTGCAAAATCTTTCGATGCAGATTTTTGCTGAGAAAAAAATTGGAAGTGTTATGTAATTCGATTTTTCCAATACTGTTGATACTTCTAGTTGCCATTAATATCATCTATTCATTTTATTCTTTGCAAGAGTGATCAATTTCGTTATCATAGCTATCGAAATCACAATTTAGAGATTTCCAGTAGATTGTGTTTGATGAAAAGCTCTAAAAACAAACTGCTTTTAACTATTATTCATTACTGCATACTACAATGAGAAAGAAAAGATTCAATCGATCCTTACCTTTATTTTCCAGTGTCTAGTATTAGTAATGCATGGTTGATGTTACAGGCCATACACTTGTTTATGTGTTTTTTTTTCAATCCTCGAGTCACATGTCATGCTATAAATATTGATATATCGCTTTGTAATATTCTCTCTCTTCTGTGCATACTTACGTATGTGTTTACTTTCATTGAGTATATTGAAAAAAAGGTTTCAACCAAATATCTAATTTTACACTATTGAAATGCAGTGTATTACTAACTGAAATAGATTAAAGATAAAAATGCAAATAATCAATTGATTTATTTTTCTTTATCTACTTCACAGTACTCTTTCTGTTATGAGAAGAGTTAAATCTAAGAGGATTTGAGTGTGAATGCGTCTGTGAATCTCTCTTTTATCCAACAAGTCACATTTGATATGCACGCGTCTTTGCAACACAGTGAAGATATGTTTAAGATGCATCTATTGCTAATCACGGCTATCGATTTCCTAAGAATAAGACGCATGTTATTTAAGATTATCCGATGAAAATTTTCAAACAAAACTAAAAATTAAGAGCCAGTGTGAAAATATACGAGTTCGTATGATTTTCATCGGAAATCTCAAAATTAGTAGAGGTGTCGTGCTTCTGATTCCTTAGATTTCTAACTCTAGGAAAGAGAAACCCATGGGAAATCCAAAAACAAAATTACTAACCTTGACTTTTCATAGAATCGTACCCTCAAATATTAATCTAACACTTTGATCACATGAATGTCTCAATCAAGGTTGCATATTTACAAAATCTCAGAGTTATTGAATGTAGCTTCTGGTGGTACCGTGTTTGAATCTCCTTGGGTTGCTTTCTCTAGAAAGCAGAAACCCTTTAGTAATCGGGATTCGAGCATTATTGAATAAATTTATATACATATATCCTTTCTTCTTGAGTTTGAGAGACAAAGTCAGTTCGAGTTTCTGAAAACTCGGAAAGTCATGGATTTTGAGGCTCCGGAAATAGAACCTAATGAAAAATATTTCTAAAAATAACGGAAGAGAACGCATTCATAAAAATGTAGAGACTTGTCTTTTACATGAAGAATGCGTTCTACAGCTTAGCGAACGTTTTCACGAACAAAAAGAAAAGTTCTGAGTCTAAAGAAACTCATTCTTTACTGTTCCACACTAGTACGGAATGCTTTCTTCTCGGTTCAAAAATCGTTCTCTATCTGGATAGAAAGCGTTCTGAACCGTTCCATGAGCCAATAGAACGTGTCTCTGCCCATTATATTTCGAAACAGTCAAGATAGGATTCCAGCGAAATGAGACCGCTTTTTTTAACATTCTCTTGCGAAACACCTGAGAATGGATTCTTTTGACTGATGAATGCTTTCATCTGAATTTAACGTCACTTTTGATTCCAAAATGACAGCTCTTAAGTACGACATCCTGAAACTGGTGCCAAAAATGGTAGAGCGTTCAATTAGTCATACTTTACAACTGGCAGTTCTGATTCCAAAAACCTTTTTTTTTAATAACAGTTTGAGCTACGAAAAATTAGACCAAGTCATTGGATAGAGCTCGTCGAGTTGCACCAGAATCAATCTTTCAAAAATTATGTCTGAACTTCTCTTCGAGAACTCTTATAGTGAATCTAAATTCAGGCAATAACGACCAAGAATGCGTTCCAAAAACAGTTAGCTTTTTTTTGAGAAAAGAAAACGTTTCAAAAAAGCTGAAACAGTTAAGAACGCATTCCAAAAACATGGAATCTGTTCTTAATGATTCCATTTTGGAACTCTTTTCACTTTTGTTGGAACATCTTCTTTTCTTTAAAAAAATGGCTTTTAATTTTACGGAACGCGTTCTTTCCCGTTCTTTGAAGCAAATGCTTTTCACTGGAAAGCCCGATTGCGATACCTCTAGAATTTAGTATAACAATCTACTTTTTCCATTTTACACAACACCAGCAAAGCTTTCACTAATTACGAAGTAATGATGAAATTCTCATTCATAAAATGAACTTCTCCAAGCTATAAGAAAAGCATGCATGAAAAACCTTTTTTTTAATCAACAATCTCAATTGAAAAGCCTGAAGCTGTTCATTGAAATATTTCATTAATGATCATCATCTATGAAAATTTTTTTGATAGTTTTGAAGTAAAATCAAAACGAGTTTGTTGTGAAAGCTTTTACTTATTTTGAATCAGAATAAAAAAGTACCCATGAAAAAAAATTGTATAAAAATGCGTTTCAACGCAAACTTTTAGGAAAAAAACGCTATTTTTGAGTTTCAACGCATCCTTTTTCAAGTTCAACGTGTTTAAACGCATCTTTTATATTTTGAACACGTTTTTTCAAATTAAAACGCAACTTAAAAACATTGTTTGAATGCATTTTGTTTTATGCGTTTGGACGCGTTTGTTCGTTATGCATTCAAATGCATTTTGAGCCTTCTTTTATTGAAAAACGAGTGTTTTTCGAAACGCGTTACAATGTTGTTCTTGCGAATGCGTTTTTTCTCGAAAAAAAGAATAGTTTAGAAAAGCGTTTGAACGAATGTTTGCATGCATGTGGTTCTAGAAAAGGTGTGGTTATATACAATAGAGATCTATTTTAACTAGAATAAATGTTGGATGGCATGAATGTCAACATATGTAAGTTAAAAGCTATAACTATTCAGAACAACTCTTTGTGATATAATAAGATAAAAAATATATTCGAATAATGTTGAAAAAGACAGCATGTATTTTATACAAAAAAAAGCCAACAATTCAAGATAAGTAGTAACATGTTCTCAAACTAGGCTCACTTAACGTCAGATACCGAATAAAACAAAAATTTTCA